AGAACAAGAGCTCATGAATGCACATAAAATGTATTAGCTAAGACTACCAAAATCAATCAATTTTGAGGCCACATTGAAGGAAATAGGCAATCTAAAATCCAATTTAGCATCAGATTCTGGTTTTCTCAAGAATGTCATATTTATCAAAGTGGCCTAAAGAATACCCATGGGCAGTAAAATGCTATTATCATTTTAAAAGTTTTTCCAAGTGGTTTTCCTAAGTCTTATGCCAGTTCATCATTTTTCCTTAAGAAAAAAAAAATATTAGCAAGTTAGCTAGCCAATTTAAAATTGAGTCTGGAAGTTGTCCACAATTGTGATTTTTAAAACAAAACAACAGTAAAGCTTCCAAACAACTACTGTTAGGAACAACTACTGTAGAATGGATTGTCACAGGAGGTAGTGGTTTGCATCTCCCAGGAGGTCATACAAAGGCAATGTTTACTTGTCAGGTGTGTGGATTAGATGGACCAGAGATGACTTGTAAGGTTCCTTCCAATTCTGATCAGATGAAGGGAGAAAGTTTCTCTCACACTAATGTAGGAGGCAGAGCAGAAAGAATGTAGCATAATAATGCTAGGTAGGACCAGAAATTCAACTCCATTTCATTTTCAGACACTCTCTAGTAAATAACTTATTTGTTACCCTAAGACACTTGTATACACAAAATCAAAGAAAGCAAAATGTCTTTACACTTAACTTAAAGAGGCCATAATGCTATTAGAGTCCTAATACTATGTAAAGATAGCTTTAAGGGAAAAGGATAATAGTAGTTTTAAAGCTTTCGATGTTATAAGATTATTTACACTTACCACATAAACAAGACATATTACCTTAACTGTAGGTAACTGAGATGATGACAAAGGAACAGACTTGTAGGCATTTTACTATATTTCATTTTAGTGGCATTCTGTTTTTTACCCACTTGACTTTTACTGAATGGACAGATTACTAGGTCAATTTCCTCAATAACCACGGACTTTACTGAGGAAGCTCTGTATAGTAGGGTTCAATATAATAAGCACAATGCCATTCGCAAACAAAAGCATCTGGAGGACCTCAATCATCTATACAGAATCCTTATTCCATTCGATGTGAGGCAAAACACCCTCCACAACCCTGTCAAACACCTTCAGCTAGCATATTTCCCTGTTTTATGTCTCACTTGGTGCTCAGAGGATCTGTGGCCACATATACGTGTTAAGAAATTTAGTATAGTTTTAACACATGTATTACAACTTGCTGGAGAGTAACCTCGAAGGATGTCTTTTGCTCCTCCCTACAAGTCAATTGTGTTTAAAAAAGAAACAACAGTAGGATTTTCTATTCTCTACACCACTCAAATCTATTATAACAAGTAGTACAGAATATGGATTACTAGTTATTAAAGTTATCAAACAGAAAATGTTATAATGTGAACTTCTGCTATAGCTGAAATTCTGTCGTAACAAAAAACAGGTCATCTTTTTTAAGGCTTTTAAAAATCTCTTTTGCAGCCAACCACCTAGGACAAAAAAACAAATAAAACTTCTCAGTAAAACAACAACAAATTAGAATCAAAGGAAATTTAACATGGATCATATTTACAAAGATTATAAACCTTGTGCCCTTTTCCCAATACAAAACCAATTAAGCATTTTTTTCCAATGTTCCTCAGATGCTGCTCTCTAACCAAAGCTCTCCCTGCAATATTAATATCTAATTAATTTGAAAAGGTATATATAGAATAAGGTACAAAACAAAGGCTTCAGTAAATAACAGAGGATCACCAATGACACGGAAAAATCATGCCACTGATATTAAAGGGAGAAAAAAACATTAAAAAGCAGCCATACAGAACTGACAATCCAAGAAAAAGTTTCTTGTACCCTGCCCCACAAATAAGCTTCTAATTTCTTCAGTATCTCTTAGTTATCACTCCTCCAGCATATCCTTAGCCTTTCTGTTTATAAGTTTCTCTAGATACTTCTTAGGTACTTATCACTCTAAATATCTACAAATTTAATTTAATAAAACTGTTGCATGCTACTTGACGAAACAAACTGATTCCTTCTAACAGACCTACTAAGAACAGCAGTACAACAGAGTTAGTGCTGGGCTTACTTAAGTCCCAGGGAGATATCTAAGCCATACAGAGTCATCTAAGTTATAACGAAGGCAATTTGCAATGATGGATTAAGTTCTCACAACAAAAGTTTCTAATTCTGACAAAATCAGTTTTTCCATATTTGTAAATTTTAGATATAAAGAATAGGTTTCTCTGCAATATTCTGTAATAGTTATGTTATAATACAATTTTAATTGATATCATAGATGCACTTCCTAACATAACTTAGTTCCCAAGAAAATGGGTTCAATATTGAGAAAATAAAATCACAATAATGTTTATCCTGAAAAGAATCTTAGAAAACATCTACTCTAACTTCATTTTACAAATGAGAAAGCTGAGAAGCAAAAAAATGGAGGGATTTCTCCAAGGTCACAGAGCTGGTTAGTAGCAGGGCCAGTGAGGCTGCTCCAGAACCCAGGCTTCCTGACTCCCAGTTCAATGATCTTTCCTCTATGCCACACTGCCCGTCTGCCAGAAGTCACGTCAATAAAAGTCTATCAGAAATTGAAAAACACCAGTAAAGTCTCATATCAGTCACTTACTTTAGGTCAGCATCACACTAAGCCCTAGGGATACAAAGAAAGGCAAAAAAAAAAAAAGGTCTCTGCCCTCAAGGAATTTACATTCTAAAGGAGTAAACAACATGCAAACAACAAAGTACATAAAAGATATATAAAGAACAGATGGAAGCTATCTCTTGAGAGTAGGAATGGTGAAGCGGAGGAACACACCAATACTTTAATCAATTTAGTCAAAATGAATGTACATTACAATCCATTATGGGCAGCTAGGTGTTGCTGTGCACAGAACACTGGGCCTGGAATCAGGAACACATCTTTAGGAGTTGAAATCTGGCCTCAGATATTTACTAGTTTTGTGACCCTGGGCAAGTCACTTCACCCTGTTTGCCTCAGTTCCTCATCTATCAAATGAGCTGGAGAAAGAAATGGCAACCACTCTAGTATCTCTGCCAAGAAAACCCCAAAATGGGGTCATAGAGAGCTGGACACTGATAAGATGTCAAGAATCCCCCTAAGGTAGATAATTAGGTCATTTTTGAATGTAATCAAAAGACAAGTCAAGGGGCAGCTAGGTGGAGCAATGGATAGAGCACCAGCCCTAGAGTCAGGAGGACCTCAGTTCAAATAGGCCTCAGACACATAACACTTACTAGCTGTGTGACCCTGGGCAAGTCACTTAACCCCAATGCCTCGCCAAAAAAAAAGACAAGTCAAGCTCCAAGAAGACTGGGAAGTGCCTTATAATAACCAATAAAGATGGATTGCTTTTAAGTTAAAGTTTACTTATCACCAGTTCCACCATGATTTGCTACTGTAACTAAAGTTGGCTAAGTGGAAGAAGTTGATTTTGGATCACAAACAATAATAAAACATTTTTTAAGCAGTTATTTGTGTTCATAAGCACTGTGCTAGGCATTACAGAGGTACAAAGTCCCACCCTATTCATAGGGATAATCTAAAAGAAAGCTAGGACACCAAAACATGAGCATCCATTAAAGAACTCCAAAACAGTGCTATCAAACCTCTTGAAGAAAGTGATATCTAAGCTCCACTGTAAAGGATAGGTAAAATTCAACAGGTAAAAAGACTGTGAGAGCATTCCAGACATGACAAACAGGTTGAGCAAAGCAATAGTGTTCTGAGAATATCGAGCTCGTTGCAGGACAAAGAGAAGCAGTTTGGAGGTGGGGATCAGGGGTAGAAGGAGTGCATGAAAGGGAACTGGAAATAAGGTTGGAAACCCTGCCTCTGGGTTACAAAAAGAGTCTTGAATGCCTGGCAGAGTAATCTGAGCCCAATTCAGAAAGTAATAAGGAGTCACAAGCAACTAAAAGGTGTGCATTTTATTTTACTTAGATGTGGGGTGGGGAGAGTTAGAGAATGGTTGGTCTAGGTAAAATAAGGAAACAAGAGGACCTCTTTTTCGGCTCCATCAATGAAGTGGAAGTGTCACAGCCACGGCAGGGGTACACAGGGGCCCGTGGCTCATTTACATAGGGCCACCACCGATTTTCGCCGAGGGACGGGCTCTCGGTTGACATTAGGACAGGTGTGACAGATGAACGTGGTGGGACCGGCCCAAGACAGCGCACGGAGCCTTTTATTCATCCCCGACTCGCAGAAAGCAAAGTCAGGACGGCCGGGATTGTGCAGGGCACAAAGGGCGGACGAGGGCTGGAGCCCGAGAAAGGGACGGCCCCGGGCCCAGCGTGTTCGTCTGCGGCCCCGGCGCTTCCCTTCGGCCGCAGGACCACGAACGCTCCGCGGCCCTCGCCCGCCGTGGGGTAGTCGACTCCTCCCGACCGCGGGCGGCTGCAGCGGCTTGAGGACAGACGCGGCCCCCAGCCTCGCGGCCGTCCGTCGCTCCTGCCCCCTCGATGCCGCAGTCTCACGCGAAGCAGGCGGCTACCCACCCGAGGAGGGGCCGCGGCGACCCTGGACCCCACGCCCCCTCCCTCCCGGGAAGCGGCCCCGCCTGCGGCCTTCGCTTGGCCGCCCCCAGCCCCAGGCCGACCCAGCCCTAGCGGTATCAGCACACCCCATCAACGTCCCGTCGGGTCCCCAGAGGCCGGACACGGCCGGACTACAGGCGAGGAAGGAAAGGAAGAAAGCACTGGTTCTAGGGGTCCCCGCTACCCCCCTCAACACTCACCATGGCGACTGCCCAGAGCCTGCGGCAAGCAGCACCAGCGCCGCGTCGAGCCCCGCGCAGTCATGTGACTCTGCGGCCCCACGAGGCCCCGCCTTTCAACTTCCCCGCGCTCCACCCCTCCACACCCTCAGGCCGCCCCTCCATTGGCCCACGCCCAGGAACTGGGGTCGCGTTCGCCCATTGGTCTTCGTCTCCCAAAGAACGCGCTAAAGGACGAGAACAGAAGCCAATCGCTCTGCCAGGAGCTAGGGAGGGGGCGGGGCATTGGAGTGCCGTGGGAGGAGAGTCGCAGGGAGGCACCTGAATAGTGGGAAGTACGGAGTCGGCTTCAGGGACAGCGAATCATCTGACTCGCCCCGGGCTACTGAGCGTAGGGCAGGAAGGAAGACACGGAAAAGGTGGGATAGATTCTCCTGCGGCTTAGCACACACCCATTCCTGGCGAGTACGCAGGCGCAGATGGAGGATGCGGGTTGGCTCGTGCGGAAAAGCTGCCCTGCTCTCGGAGCCAATGCTGTCGCGCCCGGGGGGTCGGGTCCGGGTCCCATTGGCCGGCGAGCCGTGGGGCGCGCGCCTTTCGTCCTTCTGCCGGGAGGTTCGCGGGCTGTCCCCGGTAGCCGCGCGCCATGGAGCCCGGGCCCATTGCGCGTTTCGGACCTCGACTGGGCATCACGGACCCCTCTATCCTAAGGTGAGTAGCGGGGCCAGGCCCCTCGGAGCCTGGGGGCGCCTCTAGAAGACCCCGAAGGACACGGGGCCGGCTTTGTGGAGAGGCCGCTGCGCTCCCCCAAGTTCCTTGGAGAAGCCCGGGCGGAGACGCCAAGGAAACAATGATAGCCAGGAGTAATTGTCATTGCTTTTGGTTTTAATCTGATGTGTGTGGTCATTAGGGGCAGCTAGGTGGTGCGGTGGACTTAGCGTGAGGCCTGGAGTCTGCAGGACCTGAGTTCAAATTCGACGTCAGACACCAGCCGTGAGACCCTGGGCAAGTCACCTAACCGTTTTTTGCTTCGGTTTCTTCATCTGTAAAATGAGCTGGAGAAGAAAATGGCAAACCACTCCAGTATCTTTGCCGAGAAAACCCCAGATCGTGTCTCGAAGAGCCCGACATGACTGAACCGATCAAACAAACAAAAAACATGTCATTGGTATCGGGATCTTTGATGGGAGTCACTTCCTCTACGGAAGTCTTCTCTGCCACTTCTAGTCTTCGAGGGTCGGTGGGGGTACCGAGAATAAGTGACCTGCCTAGAATCACACAGCCAGAGAGGTTAAGTGACTTGCCTAGAGTCACACAGCCAGTATGTGTCAGAGGTGGCACTTGAACCCAGGTCTAACTGACTCCCAGATCACCTCTCTGCCCACACTACATCGAGTTGCCTCTAATTGTCCTTATTTAATTATTCAGATTTGAGGAAGAAATTCGTAGCTTAGGAGGCCTATGAGGAAAGAAAAAATGATTTCAAGAGCTAGAAAGGAATCCACGTGGACCTCAGTTTCCTAATCTCTAAACTGAGTTGGCTCACCTAGATCACATAATTTATAACTGAAAGAGCCATGTCCAGATGGCCCTTAAGAGGCTGCCTTCTCTAACTTCTCCTTTTTACAAATGAAGAAACTTAAGTCCCAGAGAGATTGTTTGCCAGGATCATACCTGAAAGGTGGAGTTTGAACTCAAGTCCTCCAGTTCCAGAGCTTTCCACTACACCATGCTTCCTCCAGTATTCTCCAAGGTCCCTTCCGTTTCTTAATTTATTATGCTAATATATAAGAACCTTGTCCAGAGGAACACGGCCAGGATGGGGGGGAAAGGGGAGCATCAACAGGAAATCAAGGAAGACAAAAGGTTTCAGCAAAAGGAACCAACATATTAGAAAGGTCTAACATTGTCTGTAGTGGTCTATACTCAGGATCCTCTGCCAGGAAGTGGGGAGGTGACGTCTCCTATCTCTGGTGCCGTGCTTGGTCATTGTAATTGTCTTTTCATTTCACACTAGGTGACAATGTGATGGGGTGGCCAAAAAAGCTGCCACATTTTAAGCGACATAAAAAGGGTGTCTAGAATGATGGCAATGATATTCTGCCCTATTGTGCTATCAGAACACATCTGAAGTATTGATTTCTTTAAAAAAGATATTTGACAAACTGAAGATGCATTATAGGATGGTGAAGGGACTGGAGACTATCCTGTAATGGGGAGCAATTGAAGGGACTGGGAACATTAAACCTGGAAAAGAGACTTGAGGGAAATTTAATAGCTGCCTATAAATATTTATTGTCTGTCATGTGAAAATGTGATTAGTTTTGTTCTGTGTAGCCCCAGAGGAAAGAACTAAGAATATTGTATGCAAGATATAGCATGCAGATTTTTTACTCAAGGAGATATTTCCCAATAATTAGAGTTGTCCCAAAGTGGAATGAGATTGGGGAGGCTTCCCTTGAAAGTCTTTTAGGGGAAAGAGAAGATAGATAACCATTTGTCAAGAGTCCTAAAGATATTCTTGCTTCAGTGACTTGCTTATAAGAAAATATTAATAAAGATTCATAGTACTTAAAGAAGAGACCTTAGATTCTGTAGCCCATTCACCCTAACCACCCCACCATAATTTTACAAATGGAGAAACTAGGTTCCAGAAGAAGTGGCTTGCCCAAAGTTATTGAGATCCGTTGCTAGAACCCAGTCTTCTTTTTCAATATTTCACTCCTTCCTATGTCTAAAATCACTTGAGAATCCCAAGAAGATGCATCAGATGAATCTGACTCAAAGTATAATCATATAACTGTAGGCAACTTACTTTACTTTTGAGTCTCAATTTCCTCTTCTGTAAAGAAGAGTAAAAACTGCTACTACACTCCAGATTGTTGTGAGAAAGTTATTGTATAAACTATAAAGCACTGTGTAAGTGTGAGCTATCAGACGATGATGACACTTTGAAGGACTCTGTAGGATTCTGTGACTTTAGCTTGCAGGCAGAGTAGAACCATGATGAAATCTATTTACTTATCTTCTATCTCCTTTATTAAGAAATGTCGTTAGCTGCTTACACAGAAAATACTTTATAAATTTAATATTGTAATATAGGAAAGCTGAAGAGTACTCGCGACTGTCCCAAGTGAAGTGTACTGGATTGTCTGCTCATACAACAGAAACAAGTAATGCAATCATGTGTCTGGACCTTGCTGCCACCACTATGAGATGGCCTTTAGACAGAGTAAGTGGGTCTCTTTCACTATGATGATGATGCCTTTTCCACTTATTTCCCTCTTGTTCTTAAATTAACTAAGGGTACAAGTTATTTAAACCGTAGTTATTTGAGTATGTCTTTTCTGTCTCTGCTAGAACATACAATTCCGTGCAAGCAAGGGCTGTGTCTTATTTTTCTCTCTCTCTCCTGGTGTTGAACATAGCGCATTGCACATAAATGGTGTTTAATAAATGTTGGAAAAGAAAGGAGAGAAGTTCATTTTCTCATCCCTGAGACCAAGCTTGGCCATAAAGTATATAGCTTTCGTTTTTATGTTGTTGTTGTTCTTTCTATTTACATTATTATAGTCATATTATTTTCCTGATTCTGCTTGCTTTATTCTGCATAAGTTCCTATAAATCTTCAGACGCTTCTCAGGATTCTTTATATTTTCCTTTCTTATGGTACAGTATTATTCCATTATATTCGTGTACCATAGTTTATTTAGCTATTCTTTCCAGTTTTTTGCTACCATAAAAGGTACTGTTATGAATATTTTAACATTTCTTTCTGTCTTTAATTTTCTCTGGGCATATGCCTTCTAGTAGGATCTCTGTGTAAAATGACATGGACATCTTTTTAAATATTTTTAAAATAAATAAATTTTTAAAATATTATCTATATCTTTTGTTTTCACATTACTTAATATTTTCCACTCTATCCCTCCCAAATAGCTCCCAGAAAGCCATCCCTTATTTAAAAAAAAAAAAGGTAATGAAGGGAAGAAAAAAGGTTCCACAAAACTAACCAACATATCAGAGAGATCTAACATTGTGTGCACTTCTGTTACTTGGGGTCCCTTCCCTCTGCCAACAAGTGGGCATAGGTGTCTTCTCATATCTTCTTTGGTGCTGTGCTTGGTCATTACGATTGTTGAGATTGTTTGGTTCTTCTTCTCTCTATTTACATTGTTGTAGTCATTGTTTAGATTGTTTTCCTAGTTCTGCTTACTTCACTTTCATGGTCATCATATTTCTTATGCAGCACAGTAATATTCCATGACATTCATGTACAGTATTTATTTAGCCATATTCCAAGCAATGAGCATCTGCTTTTTTTTTTCATTCTTTGATTATAAACATTTTGGTGCATGTTGGGTCTTTGTTTTTGATATTGACCTCCCTGAAGTATGTGTCCGGAAGTGGAATCTCTGAGGTGAAAATATGGACATTTTAATCACTTTCTTAGTATAATTTCAAATTGCTTTACACACTACATCAAGAGCATTTTATTGTGTTTCCTGGCAACCTCCTTCAACATTGACTATGCCCTTCTTTTGTCTTTGCAAATTTGCTGGGTACGGGGTATACAACAGTTTTTGAAAACAGTTGTTTTCATTGCCATTTCTCTTATTAATGACTTGAAGCTATATTTCTTTTTTTTTAAATTAATTTACTTTGATTTATCAACAATCATTTCCATAAGCTTTTGAGTTTTAAATTTTTCTCCCCTTCTCTACCTCCCTCCCCAAGACAGTATGCGATCTGATATAGGAAGCTATGTTTCTTATGGATAAAAGTAGGAAGGTAGATCAGTAGAACAAACTAGATAAGGAAGAATCAAAAATAATTAAATTCAGTAACCCATTGTTTATAATTCTTCAGAAATCTGTTCATACCCTTTGACCACTTATCCATTGAGGAGTGGCTCTGGGTCTTAAATATTTGTGTTAGTACCCTCTATACCTTGGTCATCCAGAGAAATTTGATGCAGTGTTTTTCTCCTAATTATAGTTATATTCATTTTGGTTGTGCAGAAGTTCTTCAGAGGGACAGCTAGGTGGGTGGCGCAGTGGGTAGAGCTCTGGCCTTGGAGTCAGGAGGACCAGAGTTCAAATCCAGCCTCAGACACTTGATACTTACTAGCTGTGTGACCCTGGACAAGTCACTTAACCCCAATTGCCTCACAAAAAAAAAAGTTCTTCAACTTCATGTCATCCAATTTTTTATTTCATCTTTTGTGATTACCTCCCGTCACATGTTGAAAACTCTCCCCCTAGCCATAAATCTGTGGCCTTTGATACTGGATTTCAGCACATAATCATCGCACCCTGGTGTGTATGTGTTCTCATTCTCTCTTTCTCTCTCTCTCTCTCTCTCTCTCTCTCTCTCTCTCTCTCTCTCTCTCTCTCTCTCTCTCTCTCTCTCTCTCTCCCCCCCCCTCTCCCTCTCTTCCTCTCCCACTCTCTCCCACTCCCTCCCTTTCCTCCACTCTCCCACTTCCCCACTCCCTCACTCCCCAGTCCAAAACTTGATTTATAATCTTTCATGGCATGGTATAATTCTCTTTATCAAGCTGCTTAAAAGGTAAATAGAGCAATAGTGTATTCACCAGTGTCTTATGGATACACATTTATCTCTGGCACATTACGAGCCTCATTGTTGGTGTATTTCTGAAAGCTGACTTGCATGGTTTGTTTAGAGCACTGCAGGATTAATGGTATTGTCACTCAACCCAATGAAGAGCCATGAGCAGACAGGCAGGTGAAGCTGCCATGAGTAAATCATTTGATGTGGTAAGACTTGCATCTTCCCATGCTATCTAAACTGTACAGTTTCTCACCAGCGATACAGTTTAGTAAATGATTTTTAAGTAATACCAGCACAATTTAAAAGAAAGCTTCATGTAATGGTTGCACCCCACTTCTTTGCAAAAAAAAAAAATTAGCATAAAGCCTGCGACAATTATGCAGTGAAATACAGTATTCGTGTCAAGTATCCATTCTGATCTTATAATGGAATATCATATAAGATTATTAGTCTAAACTTAATTTCTGACAGAATTTTTTCAGTTTTCCTACCACTTCTTGTCAAATAGGGAGCTCTTGCACAAAATTTACATTTTCAGTTTATAGAAGACTGCATTACAAAGTTTGTTTCTGATTGTTGCTTATCTAATCTATTCTGTTGATCAACTTTTATATTTTTTAACCAATACCAAATAGTTTTGATGAATGCTTCTATATGTTATAATTAGGAATGTTGGAAATACTATTCTCCCTTCATTCCTTTTTTTCATTATTTCTCATGAAAGTCTAGATCTTTTCTTCCTCCAAATCAATCTTTTTTTAAAGCTCTATAAAATATTACCTTGAGAGTCTAGTATGACACTAAGCTTATTAATTAATGTAGGTAGTATCGTCATTTTTATTATATTGATGTACTCTAGTCAGAAACAATGAACATCCTTCCAATTATTATATAATTCTTTATTTCTTTTAAGTGTTTGATAATTGTATTTACATAAAGTTGCAGTGTGCATTGGTAAATTGACTCCCAATTTTGTAGTTATTATGCTTTCTATCATTTGCTTTTGGATTTTGTTATTGCTATATAGAAATGTCATTAGTTTTTGTATTTATTTTTGTAAGCACTACTTTATTATTGCTACTGTCACAGTTTCTTTGCCTACTTCTGGGATTTTCTAAATAAGCCATTATGCCATCAGTAAATGGGGACAATTTTATCTCCTCTTTGCTTTTGTCATTGCATTAAAATTTCTTCTTGTCTTAATGCTAGCATTTCTAGAACTGTGAAAAATAACTATGGGGAAATGAGCATCCATGCTTCTTATGTTTATTAACAAAGGCATTAGTGTTTCCTCATTGTAGAAAATGTTAACTTTTGTTTTTAAACATTTTAAATCGTATTTTAAAATTGTCCTATGTCTATGCATTGTCTGGTTTTTAACAAAAATGTGTGTTATACTTTGTAATGGCTTTTTCTGCACCTATTGACATAATCATGTTCATATTTTCTTTTTTGGAAGACTTACTTAGTTAAACTTTCTGGTTTGAACAAGAAGATGTATCAAAGCTGTCTTAAGTCTTTTGAGTGTTTGCTGGGCTTGAATTCAAATGTTGGAATAAAAGACTTAGCAGTACAGTTTAACTGCGTGGAGGCTGTAAACATTGCTTCAAAGATCCTACAGAGGTATGGAGAATAAAGAATCATGTGGTCGAAAACTTGATGTTTTACAAATTAGAACTTTTAATTTGAAAAAATATCTACCTTTGTTAAGTAAAATTTTGGCCTATAGAAATATTTGGTACACTTAAAACTGATGCATGCTTATTGTCAAGGTTTAGTGATGATGATTTAGCACTTTTACATTATGCCTTAGAAATCATGCTTATACTATTTAGTATTTATATATCACTTTAGAATCTGGACCATTTCTCTAACAAATACCTTAAAAACTGCTTTCTTGTAGGTACGAAGCCAGCCTTTCCCAGATACAGAAAGTAGATCTAGATTTGTCCAAGCCCCTTTTCACGACAGCTACACTGTTTTCAGCATGCAGGTAAGGATATATTTTGTTAAGGACTTAATGTTTCCAAAGTTTATAAGTCACTTGCAATTCAGAACACATTTTCTTACAGAAATAATGTCTGTTTGGTGGTTGGTTTCTCAGGGAGGCTTCCAAAGCTTGTTAGTTCAGAATGTACCTATTCTCATCACTGGTAATGGTACAGCCACTGCATTTGGCCTGTGCTATCTCAGAAACTCATGTGCTGTAAAAGAAGTAAAAAAATTGCACTTAAGTCAGAGTTGTTGGACTTGACCAAATACAGAAAACTGAAATCCATGCTGGAGGTGATACCGTTTCAAAGGCATTAGGATGGATTTTCAGGATATTTCACATGAGCTCAAAGGCCATCTAGTCCAGCACCTTACTACCTTTCTCAGAAAGAGAGCTTCCACTGGGACGGTGGTGGCAGTGGTTGGAAACAAGCCCTGGAGCCCTCTTCCCCACCCTCCATGGTAGCAGAAAGATGTAAGGAAAATGAAATTCTGTACTTGGAGCAATTTGCCAGATCTAGAGGAGAGAACCTATCAGCTGTGACTGACTGTGGAGTTCCACCTGCAGCAGTGCAGATGGATGTAAAGGGAAAGATGAGGAATAACCAAAGTCTTTTCAAGGGAACTGTGTACAGGTTCCCTAAATTTCATGACGTGCAGTTTCAGTAATTCTTCCTTGTAACAGCTTCTGTGCCATTTAGAGGCAGGGTATTTAGCTTTTGGGAATTTTGAAGAAGAATCTGAAATCAGGAAGAAACAGCCGGGGGTAGCTAGGTGGTGCCATGGATAGAGCACCAGCCCTGAAGTCAGGAGGACATGAGTGCAAATCTGGCCTCAAACACATAATATTTCCTAGCTGTGTGACTCTGGGCAAGTCATTTAACCCCAAGTGCCTCACCAAAAAAAAAAAAAACAAAGGAAAGAAACAGCTGGATTTTTATCATTTTACATATTTGGGGGGAAACTTCTTGGACCTCACCAGCATTTCATTGTGATGTGGAAATAACCCAGGATTCTTGAAGGCTGTGTGTCAGCATACCATAAGCTTTGTCAGTCCTACCAAGCCTGAAAGACTTTGAATATGGCCTTCTTTACATACTTAAATCTGTTCTCTTCTAGCTTAACTAAACTCATAGGGGCTTATTGGGGAGTTGAGGTTTTTCAGCAACAGCAACTTTCAGAGATCGTTTGGTGAAGAGCAGAGGTCCTTGCTGTCTGTATTAGTGGAGGGATTACTCCATTGCCAATATTTGTGGCTCCTTGAAGTGTCCTTAGAAGAGGCTCTTCACTTCTTGGAGTTTTAAAACTGTGTCTCCAGGGAGTTTTTGTCATAGGTAATTTGCAGCAATAATCTATCCATTTAATTGTTCTTTAGCAACAATACTAAATCTTCACATTTATTTGGTACTTTAAGATGTAAGAAGCACTTTCACAATAGTGCTATAACGTTGGTGGTCTGAGTATTATTATTCCCATTTGACTGAGGAAACAGACTTAGAACTGAACCTAGGTGTCCTGAGTTTGTGACTGATACTATTCTTACTATACCACTGTGCCTCAGGAGTGGTGTAATGAAAAGAAGTGAGAAGAGGGAGTAATGAAGCTTAAGTTCTAGTTGTGGCTGTACCACAAATTAGCTGTATGATCTAGAATGCAAAAACAAAACCTCATCTCTCTGGATATCAGTTTCTTCATTTGTAAAGTGAGGAGTTTGGACTAAATGATGGCTATCCTTTCCAGATATAAAATGATGTGATTTCAATGGTTTAAAATAAAACAACTTTGAGTTACTGTCTCACAGCCATCAAACTGGCAAAAATAATTAAAAGTAATAAAACTCAATGTTGGAAGTGTTCTCATAGAACCTTTTTGACAGCATTTTATTAATATGCAGTAGAAGTTACCAAAATAATTGTACTCTTTGACCTAGTTATTCCACTGTTGAGTATTGTGTCCTGAAAAGTGTTGTAGAAAAACAACACACAAAAAGCTGTTTTCATAGCATTATTATAAATAATTGTAGAAAAACTGGAGAAACAAATGTCCAACAATAAGAGAATAGTTAAGTAAATTGTGGTAGATAAATGTAGGAATAGTATCATTTGGTTAAGTCTCACAACTATAAGTAGTACAAAGAAATCTAGAAAACCATTATGAATTAATGCAAAATGAAAAAAGCCAAAGTAAAAATGAATGGGTGAAGAACTCTGATTTGTGGAGCTTTAGTGGAAATGACTAAAAAAGCTCTATTCTCTACATTGAAATTAATTTAATTGTAAATAGTTACTAAGCAAATTTAATTAGTTGTATTGCTTAATATTATTTTTAACAAGTCATTTGATTTAAAAAATTTTAAAACCCTAAAAAGAGAGAGCTTCCAGAAAAATAGAAAATGTATGGTATTATTACCAGAAAAAAAGAACTGAGAAGAGATCAGAATTTTTTGACTTGTTTGCCTATTTTTTCAACAAAATCTTTGAGAATAGCCTATATGCATATTAAGGTATTCTTGAGTAACATTAGAATAGAACAGACTTTTACAAACTATTTGCTATACAACTTAATCACATAATTTACTTCATGATGTAGAAAATACAAGAGCTTGGGGCAGCAAGGTGGTGCCAGTGGATAGAGCACTGACCCTGGAGTCAGGAGGACCTGAGTTCAAATCCAGTCTCAGACACTTGACCCTTAATAGCTGTATGACCTTGGGCAAGTCTCTTAATCTCATTGCCTAGCCAAAAATAAAAAAGAAAGAAAGAAAATACAAAATTTTTCTATGTTTATTGTTTCAAGAAACAGTACTTTTTAAATTACTTTTTAAAAAAAAGTTATTTGATTTGGTAAAGCAAACTTAGCCATAAAGAATCCTCTTCCATATGGTGTCAGATGTGCATGTGTTAAGATCATACAAGTTTCCTTGATAGATGCAACCACAGACATAATTTTGTCCAATAATATTCTGAATATAAATATCAAGTGAGGCATAAAACAGGAGATGTCCACCAAAGGTATTCACTGGTGTTACAGACAGTGTCCTGCACGATATCCAGATGGAATAGGGATTATCTATAGATGATAACTCACATCCACGTAGTACTTTGAGATTTACAAAAAGTATTTAACAACTCTTTTAAAAGTTGATGGTGCAAGTATCCTTTTTCTCATTTTATAGATTAGAAAAATGAGTATTAGAGTCTAAAAAATGAGTCTGGTTTCACCCAGAGTTGCATGCCTAGTAAGAGTCAAACCCAGATCTTCTGATGCTTCATCTTGTATTCTTTCCACTTCACCATTTGCTTTTATTTGCAAGTGGAATTCTGATTAGAAGGATTTCTTTGTGGAATTCCCAGGTATAACCACTCAAGAGTGGCTTAACATTCAAAGACAGAAGGAAAGGATGGCTGTATAACAAAGTATTCATAGCTATACTTTTCGTTGTAATAAGGAACTTGAAACAAAATAGGTACCCATCAAATGACAAATCACAGTAAATTGTGATACATAAGTGTAATGGAATATTATTATGCTGTAAGAAATGATGAATAAGAGTAATTCAAAGAAACCATGGATGAACTGATGCAGAATGAAATAAAAGCTGGGAGAAAAATTTACACAGTGGCAAGCAACTTTCAAAGACTTCAGAACTCTGATCAGTGAATTAATCTGTGACTAACCATGACTTTACAAGACTGATCATAAAACATTCCCCTTGTCAAAGGAGCGATGGATTAGAGATACAAAATAATCCATACATGTTTTGCTTGACTGTATTTCTTTTGGGGGTATTGAGTTAATGGATAGTGATCAAGATGCAAAAAATAAATGGAAGAAAAGAGCATCAACAAAAAGGTTTTAAAATACATAGAAGAAATTGGTTTATAAGGAGACACAAGGTAATTTTGTTACTACCTTATTAAATTTAATATAAACTTTTTAAAAAACTAAAGTAAGTAACACATTGATGGGTTCATATGAAATCCTATTTTGTTCTTTATAAATTGAAGTGTTAGTATTTGATGATTACATTCTTAATAAAAAAAAATTTCTTTTACAAAGAAGGCATGTGGGGGCAGCTAGGTGGCGCAGTAGATAGAGCACCAGCCCTGAAGTCAGGAGGACCTGAGTTCAAATCTAACCTCAGACCAAACACTTGACACTTACTAGCTGTGTGACCCTGGGCAAGCCACTTAACCCCAATTGCCTAAAAGCAAAAAATAAAAAAATAAAAAGAAGGAATGTTATACATTAGAACTCTGATTAATACACTTACCAGTCAGAATATCAGAGGACTGACAGTAAAATGTGCTTTCCTGCTTACAGCAGAAGGGTGAGCTATAGGTGGAATGGGGTATGCATTGCCATAAATGACCAATTATCAATTTGTTTTGCTTACCTGTGCTTTTTTGTTGGGGGGGGCGGTGCAGACATTGGGAATTATTGGGAAGTGACAGTTATTTGGTTTTTTTTTTCCTTCAGGGCATCAATAAAACATGTTTGGAAAAAAAATAAATGTCATAGTCTGGATGATAAATCTGTTCATATATCTTGGTAAGGGACAGTGAGCTGGGCCCAGAGCTGATTAGGATTAAGAGAGAGGATTAGCAGGTTGTGTGCTGCTTCCATTGATGTCATATTGTTCCTTGCCACAAAAGCCCATGTTTCTTAACACCATTATTCTCCTTGTGATGTGATACGGCTTCAAATCATGGAGTAACACAATCATATAAAAATCCAAACTGCAGGTAACATAGAGGGTGTAGGGGAAATGTGTGAAGAGTACATATTGTATAGAGTAGTCAGTAGTTTATTACCAACAATGACTTTTGGGCATAGAAGACACGGTCAGGAACATGTACAACTGGAAAAAAAGGCAGACTATTCATTCATGTAGGGAGAGGAAAGGATGATAGATGGACAGATGTATTATTGTATGGATATCTACAAAATATTAAAACACAAAGGAAGGTCACCAATTCATTGAATAGATCCCTGTGGGGAATTTATAAATGATAAGAAAGCTAGGGTAATTTTCAGTCTGTACCAGTGGAGGGAGTTCTCATGCCATTTAGTAGATTACAAATCCATTGAATAGCAGAAATGTTGTTTGTTCACAACTATAATGCTTTCTATTACTGTTGTTTGTTTTTCTTTTTTAATGGAAATTTATAGTATTTAAGTTACATTAAAAATTAGATAGGATTTTAAGAACTTAACCTGGGAACTTAGTTGCCCTTTAGGGCAACTTCTATGGGGAAATGCATTCCAAATTCTAACTTGCTCTCTCCTTGCTATAGCTATAGTGGCAGCAAGGAAATTCCTCCCCTTTCAGAGCTACACAGTGGTCATTTCATATGTAAAGAATGTTAACAACTTGAGTTTTTTCTATCTTGGGCTGTCTGCACGTGAACATTAAAATCTGATCCCTGATTTAGCTGTTAATGATTAATAGTTTGCTAGTTGTAGCTCCAAAAAGCAAAATATTAATGATTATATAGGTAGCTTTTGAGACTTTTAGATTACTTCTTAAAGATCCAGTTTCTAGTTTGTTAGTATGCTTCATATGTTGATGTACTTTGATTTGTACCACAGTAGTTATCTCTAACTACTAACTATTCATGGTTTCTGTTCCTAAAGAGGCCTTGCTTTGCTTTCTGCTGGAAAACACCTTAAAAATAAACAGCAATTTAGGGGTGGATTCCTCTACCCACCCAAATGATTTTGGAGTTGTTTGGCTTTATTACCTACATATAGCACAAAGTGTGTTAATTACCATATATGGAGGAAAAAAACCTAACTCCAAATCAGTATTATAGAAAAGGATGAAGTTAATTCAATTTGGGTCTATTCCTTATGTGTTCACATTTCTGAAGTATAAGACAGGTATAAAGCAAGGAAAGATGTGAATGGGCTCCTCACTTTATAAATTCTTTTGGACTCAATCTAGTAAATGTAGCAATGAAATGAAATGAGCCAAGCACCTGAAAACAATGTGATATGTATGCCCAAAAATGTTAGTTCTTTAAATATTAAACACCTGAGAATTTAAGAAAATGAATATAACAATTCTGGTATTCATTTCTGTCTTCTCACATGCCCCTCTCTGATAGCAGAGATTCTGATACAGAATGTGTGCCTTCCTTATTGGCAATTTTATCCATCTAACAACTAAAAATTAGTAAGTAGATTAAAGAAGTGGGCAGCATCCTTAAAGCTAAAATTTTACACTAGGACTGAAGGGGGAAGAAACAGTTCTTAGACACTTCAAACACCCACTAGTAAAGCAAGAGAAAAAAGGAACAGAAAATGGTGTAATGAAGAATGTACCAAACTAAATCATCAAATACTTCAGTGAAAATCCTTCTTCCAACACTTAATAGCTCTCTAGTATCATATATAAAATAGAGATTAAAAAAACTCATAACTCCTTCGTGGAGTTGTTCTAAGAATCAAATGATTGTATAAAATAGTTTTGGGGTTTTTTTCCATCTCAAAGTGCTATAGAAATGTCAACTATCATCATTTTCATTAGTATTATTGATGTGTAGATGGCAAGAAAAGGGTATCTGACCATCTAAGAAAATTAATTATTTTATAGGGTCCTAAAGATAAAAGTAAATAAAGACAAAATGGTGGCCACATGTGGTGTAAAGAAAGCTGTTTTTGATCGACTCTGTAAACAGTTGGAAAAGTTTGAACAGCAAGTTAAGGGTGAGTATTCTGCAATTTATGGTTATATAAATTTAGGCCAGGTTACCACAATTGCATGTTTATAGTTGCAAAGGCTTGTGTTACTCAAATTGATTCCTCAGACAAATGCTGTAATATGCTCCATTCATGTACATAGGTCAGACTATTGCCAAGTAGGACATATTGTCTTACCAAGCTAAAGGAAAACCTCAAAATGTTTTTATTTTTTTCCCCCTTCCAATAAAACCAATGGCATTTGGGCAGGCAAGATCATAGGATAGAGCTGGAAAGGGCCTTAACGGTCATCCAGTCTTACTCCTCATTTTACAAGGATGGAAGCCATAGATTTAATGATGTAAATGTAATGTAAGATTGTTTGGAGATTAAGCATGCTAGAATGAAGAGTCATACCTGAAAGTGGGAAGGAAGAAGAGAAATAATACTAATGACAGTTTTATTTTTCTTGAAGGAGAACCTAGCAGTTCAACTTCTCCACCAGCCAAAAGACAGAAAATTATAGTTGAACATTCCAAGAAAGGTAAGGCTTGCTGTCATTGACTCTGGCAGTTATTTAAAAGCTTTATTATCAAATCTAGAATAAAATCTATCAGGTAACCATTTTTTAAAAGCTCTTATAGTCCTCACCATAAGCAATGGAAAAGTTTGAAGCCTTCTTAGAATAGTTGGAGTATAAGTAAAATGAACAAAACTATAAGACTTTCTAACTTTCTGCTTAAATTTGTTGCTTGCATATATAAAGAACTTAAATCATGGAAATTCAGGATTATTTTTAGTCTTAGATTGGGAGTTGACTTTAAAACAGGAGATTTTTCTATTGTCCTGATTTCTTAAAATAGAGACAAACTTTCAAGTTGCTAAGATTGAGAATTTTTAACCTCTTAAAATTTTTCCTACAGAAATAGAGGAAGAAGCAGAGTCTCTATGTAAGCAGCAGCAAAGTGAAGATTTAAAACAAGATTATGAAGAGTGGAAAAGAAAAATTTTAGAAAATGCTGCTAAAGCACAAAAGAAGTGATTTCAGTTTCCAGAAAGCACCTGCCTCCAACCATGACTCTTATCCCCAGTGAGCCTTGATGGGTCATTAGCATTTGCTCTTGAGCAAGAATTCTGAAAGCGCTACCTTGATATGCTTGGGGTTCTTTATCCTGGGCAGTACCAAACATGTTATGTTAAGGAAAACCCTTTCACCTCTTCTCTGGGTTTCCATATTTTGGTGAGGTTACTTACAGAAGGTAACACAGAGGTCACATGTAAGGCAGTGGGACCTAGCTCCTGATGTTGGAAATAAGCTGACACAATCAACCATGGTGTCATTTGGCATATAGCTTCCACTTACCCACCAGGCGTGTGTATTCTCTTCCAAAAGAGTCTAAGGAAACTTAGTACTCTAGTTTGTACTTTTGATAATACGCTAATCAGGGGTGGGGAACCTGCAGCCTCCTAGGCCACTTCCCCACCCATGCAGTCATTTTGAAGCAATACAAATGAATTTTCATACTATTTGATGCCTGCTTTTAATTGTTTTTGCAGTTTTTTTAGAATCATAGAATCTTTCAGTTTAAATAAAATACTGAAGCCCAAGATAATAAATTTTATTTCTGTGTCCAGCATGTCTTAAATTTTTGTTTAAAGAACACCCTTTTGGGGGCAGCTAGGTGGTGCAGTGGATAGAGCCCTGGAGTCAGGAGGACCTGAGTTCAAATTTGGCCTCAGACACATAACACTTCCTAGCTGTGTGACTCTGGGCAAGTCACTTAACCCCAGTTGCCTTTAAAAAAAAAACAAAACGAACACCCTTATGCCATTAATATGGAATAATTTTTCTCTACTGTACTAGCTACCATATTGGTAGTAATTTAAGAAGGTCACATAATGGACTACAAATGAGGACAGTATTGCAAAATCAAGAAATTAACCAAGGTTTATTTGTGCTTACGCTTCAGATATATACAAACTGACAGATGCAATAGCACTTAAACACTCAACATTCAGAAACAAACCTACGGAGTTTGGCCTTCATAGAAGGTGAAAAGATCTGGGAAGTGGTACCAAATAGAATTTCACTTTGGTTACCTTCTAATTACATATGTTGAAAGAGTAAAACACAAAACTGCTGAGTTCAATTTTTAAAATTCCATTTTACTGCTAGATGTTGAGGGTAGGTATGCAGTTTGTTTATTTGCCATAGACTTGTGATTTCATTGACTTATATACTCCAGAGGTAGCAACTTCCAGTCGATAAAGAACAGCTCATCTGAAACTCTTAGGTGATGGGACACTGAGAGGTTAAGGGACTTATCCGCAGTCACAAATGCAAGGATGCCCCAGAGCCAGCATTTGAACTCAGGTCTTTCTACATCCATTCCCAGCACTGTCATCCCTTGGGTACACTCCAGTTTTTCAAAATACACAGCCTGTGTAGAACCTGGAGTAACTAAATTGACTACATAATTAGCCTTGTAACCTACAAGTGGAGTTTACAAAATTAGTTTCCTAAAAATACTAATGTGCTTGTGCTCAAGCTGAGAAAAGCAGTTCCCTGCCTTTTGGAAGGAAAGGCATTTAGCAATCAAAAGTGGCAGGCAGCATCTGCATGCAATATAATACTTGCTTTCCTAATTGAACTTGAAAGGGAAACAACTAATGGGATTGAGAATAGGAATAAAAACCAGCAATGATGAGAAATTCCTGGCTCCTAACAAGGACCTGACATTTATTCTATTAATGCTCATTATTTATACTCAGTTTTGTGTTTCAGGCTGGGCTTTTTTTTTTAATGAATCACCTTTAGAAAAAAGGTATTGACTTTTTTAAAAAATAAAGTTATACAAGAAGTGCATGAAAGAGTCTTCTTTATTTTGTGTGGGGCTTAGATTTGCTTTGTGCTATTGAGTCGCATTCCTAATTTTAGACATAACTTTACTATTCCTATATGAAAAATTCCTATCCAAAATAGTATCGTTCTAGTCAGGTTGCTAGTAAATCTAAAACCCCTAAAATTTGTTCATATGATGTGGGATACGAGAAATGAGAATTGTTTTAAAGCTTAGTTAGAAAAATAAAAGGAAATCATAGTCTTAATTAGGATAGGGCCTGGACCTATGATTTTGGTGGTATAGGGAACACCCAGGTAAGGAAACTCCCTCTACCAATGAATGTTGGCACCCTTTCTGAAACTTGAGCCCAAAGCACTGACAAATTAAATTATTTGCCCAGAGGTTAGCCAATATATTAGAGATAGGAATGGCATCCAGGTCCTCTTGGCTCAAAGCTGGCTCTCTTCATTTGTAAGACAACCCATTTCATTATTGAAAAATCATTCCTTTATGTTGAGCCATCTTCTACTTCTGTGTATAGCTTAACCAGCCCTTACACGGAATCTTGGTTTACTGACAGCTTTTAAGTACCCAAAAGCTGTAGGTTTAGAGTTATGGGTTTGGGAGAAAGGTCTTGAAAAGTTACTTGTAGTTATCCAAAGTGGTTGCTGTGCTCTGATTTGGGCTGGTAAGGCAAAAATTGAGTTAAAAGCCATCTAGGTCATTTACTCTTCCTGTTTCTCATTTCTTGCTCTTGCTCTTTCTCTTGCTCTCTCAGCATACACACACACACACACACACATAACTGCATTTAAAATTTTAAGCATATATAGAACCATATAAGAACTTTGCTCTTTTGACATTGCTCATTTGGTTTAAAAAATGAGCAGTAGTCAACTCCATTCCTTTGGGAAAATAACTATGTAAAACACTTCTCATCTATCCCTTAATTTCTGGTACCAGTTCCCATGGTTTCTAAACCAGTGTTGTTATACTTTAAAGCATAGGTTCCTAACCTAAGGTCCATAAACTTTTTAAAAAAATTTTGCTAACTTTCAATATAATTGCTCTTCTTTGTCATCCTCTGCAATTTAGTGCATTTAATTGCATTTGAAAACATTATTCTGAGAAGGGGTCTTTAGGCTTCACCAAACTCCCAAAGGGGGCCATGACCCAAAAAGAGGATAAGAACCCCCGTTGTGAAACTTCATAATACAGTACCACCTAAACAACCAAAAACAATAAGAAATCTACACTTTGGAAATAATACTGAATGACTTATCCCTGTGCCACATGCTACTATAATTGCTACTCAGAACAAGTTAAAAATTGAAATTAATCACACTCCTAAAATAGGACCATATCTCCCCAACTCATTTGATTTAATGCATGCCTACTGTCATCACCTAGTAAAGTTTTTAAGGCAGTTCTTACATAGCAAGTTCACATCCACATTTAAGACAGGCTACAGTAATAACATTACTTACACAATTTAAAAACAGGAAATCAAATACAGTAATAGTAAAGGGCCAGATCATTAGACAAAGAGTTCTCTGTCTTAGTCTCATCTCTAGCTCTAAGCATTGCAGAACTTTCAAAACAGCATAGATGAGGCTTGGGGACAACTTGGAAACTTCCTAAGCCTGTTGGCAGCAGTCACGGCATAGAAATGTTTCTTGAAAGAAAATAAAGAGAAAATTTGCATTTTAGACTAAATTTTCATTTATGAAGAAAGGATTGGGAAAATCAAGATAAATGAGGTCAAAACAAGTTTCTTGATTTATTTGTAATTGATTCAGCTAGTGACCCCAAACTAGGTAACAAAATTTCTTAAAAGTTGCTAGGTTGAAGGTAGGGATCTTTTTTTGGGAATGTGGGGTGGGGAGCAAAGGGGGTAAAGTAATAGGAGGGCATGATAGCAGGTAGAAGTAAAGTAGAAGAGTTGAGAGAGAGGATATAGATATATGCACAAATATAAAAACAAAGATCAGAAGTAGAATTTGTTAGGGAAAGTATATGTGTATGTATGTCTACATGTATGTATGTGAAATATATTCACGCTTAATTGTAGGGGGAGGGGAGAGGGAGAAGGGGAAAAAGAACAGTAAAAAGTGCACAGCAGAGAACAAAAGAAAACTTACAAGGAAGGAAAGAAATGATGCACAGCTCTCAACACAAGCTGTAGTATTATGCAGGCTTTCTTGAAATGGAAATTTATTGCAATATATTTTGAATCCTCTCTGAGTTCTGTTGTGCACATCACATGCTTTTCTTACTTTTCTTTTTTTGTATTTAAGTTTCAATAATTTAAAAAATGTCACTAGATTGTAAACTCCAGGAGGACAGGGATCACATCTTAATCAACTTTGTACCTCCCCTGCCTCCTGGTGCAGAGCTTTGCATATAGTTGGCACTTGATCAATGGCAACACTATTTTCATTCCTGACCTTAGGGTTGTTGATTATCTAAAGTAAAGTATCCTAATTTGATTTTAGCCCCACAACCCTCTACTTTTACATTTAGCCTTAAGACTGCAATCTGTCCTAAGGATAGTCTTTTAAGACTCTTTCACATGATGGACAGATAGCTATGGTTATGTCAACCTAAATGTATAAAATTATTTTAATTTAATTATAATTAATTAAAATTTAATTAATAAAATTGTGGAGGCATGAGGCATCAGCCAGGTAACTCCCATCTCACGTATCTGCTGTCACTAATGACAGCATATATTCAAAACTTCTCATGGCATTTTCAGTTGTAAGTTTCCACATAGATATACCATTGCTTAATACGCCACCAGTATTTTAGACTATTGACTTAGGTTTCTCGAAGAGGCATATTTTGACTCCTTGTATTCAAAACACTGTCAAGTGCAAATATAGCCAAGGTACTTTTAAAGGAAGCATGAAAGAACCTGCTTCTTTTTCCTTCAAAACAGAACTATAACAAAACCTTACTTTCCATTTTCTTTGAGCCATGTATTTCCGTAGCAGTATCTGTGACTTGAGCCGAACTTTAGACTTTGTGGCTTTGGTTGGCAGATTATTCACCCACTCGTGTTTCAGACACTGTGAAGCACTCATTCTACAGCTGGGAAACCAAACAGCAGGTGAAATTAAACAATTGGTTGTGCCCTCTTGGGTTGTACAGAGATCTGGGGTACTACAGAGATCAAAAGCTAATGGAGGGGCAGCTAGGTGGCACAGTGAATAGAGCTCTGGCCTTAGAGTCAGGAGGACCTGAGTTAAAATCCAGCCTCAGATACTTAATACTTACTAGCTGTGTGGCAAGTCACTTAACCCTGATCACCTCACCAAAAAAAAAGCTGGTGGAACCTGATCCTTTATGTAGGTGGCTTTTTGGTCACTTGGCTATGTTATAGTGAAGATTCCTTGTGTATAGATTGGACTTCCAACTCAAATTCTGTGATTGGTGGGTACCAATAAAGGAAGTCACTTTGATCAAATCTCCCCCTAAAAATTCCCATGACAACCAGCTAGACAAAAGTTTGCTAACCCAAGGTAATTTGAAGGGCACAGATAACCTGTAGCATCAAGGGGATGAGGTTTGGGGAAGCAATGCCTACTCTGGAGAAGAAAAATAACCAAATGTATGTGAATCAAAAGAGCTGAGCTTTTCTATAAGAGTTAATATAAACTTGATTATTTGAATTTGACATATTTCTCACAGGTAACATTTTTTTCATAGTCAAAAAGTAATAACTAGCAGGCATTTAGCACTTTAAGGTTTACAAAATACTTGACATACCTTATCTCATTTGTCCCTCAGTGCAACCCTGGGAGAGCTACCAATAACCTCTTTACAAATGAGGAAACTGGGGCAGCTAGGTGGCGCAGTGGATAGAGTACCGGCCCTGAAGTCAGGAGTACCTGAGTTCAAATCCGGCCTCAGACACATAACACTCACTAACTGTGTGACTCTGGGCAAGTCACTTAACCCCAATTGCCTCACTAAAAAAAAAAAAACAAATGAGGAAACTGAGACTTAGATCAAGTGACTTGCACAGGGTCACACAGTCAAAAGGTATCTGGAGTAGGATTTGAACTCAGGTTTTCCTCATACCAGGTCTAGCATTTTATTCACCATACCATCCCAGCTGCCTAAAACCAGCCTGATAATGGAGCTAGAAAAGGGTCAGAAACAAGGCTTTAGATCTTCCCTCCCCTGAATAGTAAATATTTTTAATTCTTACCTTTTCTTTCTCATTTTATAGGGATGGGAAATGGACCTGAGATTTCACTGCCATAAGGAACTCTCAGGTAAAGGGACTCCCTCTACCTATGCAGACTAAGATTCTCTACAACTTAAAATCCTAGTTGCCTGGAGTTGGGAGATTCAAAGACTTGCCCAGAGTCACACAGCACATATGTACCAGAGGTCTTTTTGGCTTTGAGGCCAACTCTCAGTAATTATTTTGCTATGTTGCCTTTCATTTTATACTCACAGTGGAGCTTGTATCATTCATTTGACATAGCTTTCTATTGCCTTTAAGTACAAAAATAAAAATAAGGTGGGGGGGTGGGGGAGGGAATCTGCCCTTCCTCACCAAGGAATAAAGTTTTCCTCCTTTCTTGCTTTTATTCTAATTATGGCAAGTCAGTGTTTCTCAACCTCCTTCCTGGCAATACCCTTGCATGTGTAAGTACTTAGAAATAACAACCATTTGCAAATATTCCTCCTGCCCAGGCATTTACATAGATCTTAAGTTATCAGTCTCATGCATTTAGAAAATATTTTCATTCTGTGAAGGCATTGTTTCTGGATTCTTTCTCTTGTCCTTTTTGCCAATCTCCTCTTTGCTTTCAAGTGTGGACTAAGAAACCAGAAGGGAAACTTAACTATCCTGTAGGAAGATGAGATCTTTTAAAGTTAAAAAAAAATATGCTTCAATCTCTATTCAAACACCATCAGTTCTTTCTCTTGGGATGGATAGCATTTTCATCATAAGTCCTTCAAGTTGTCCTGAATCATTTTATTACAAAGAATAGCTAAATCATTCACAGCTGATAATCTTACAATATTGCTGTTCCTTAGTACACAGTACATTTCACTTTGCATCAGCTCATACAAGTATTTCCAGGTTTTTCTGAGAGCATCCGTTCTTGCTCATCATTTCTTATAGAAAAATAGTATTCTATCATAATCATATGCCACAATCTGTTCAGTCATTCCCCATTTGATGGGCATCCTCTCAATTAGCAAGTCTTTGCCCCAGAAAAGAGCTACTATAAATAGTTTTGTACATTTGGTCCTTTTCCTTTTTTTATCTCTTTTGGGATGCAGACCTAGTAGTGGTATTGCTAGGTCAAAGGGTTTTGTAGTCCTTTGACCATAGTTCTAAATTTATCTACAGAATGGTTGAATCAGTTTACAAGTCCACCAACAATGCAATGTCTCATTTTTCCCATATCCCCTCCACCATTAGCTATTTTCCTTTTGTGTCCTATTGGCCAGTGTAATAGGTATGAGGTAATACCTCAGAATTCTTTTAATTTGCATTTTTCCAATCAATAGTGAGTTAGAGCATTTTTGTCATATGGCTATAGATAGCTTCAGTTATTTCATCCGAAAACTAATGAACCCCATTCTTAACCACAGTGTCCTGAGCCAGGGGTTCTCCCAAATTGATGAGGTCATGATTGCTCCCAATAATACATACCTCTTCTCTTTAACCAGGAGCCTAGAAATGAAATCTTTGGCCTCTTCCGACAGCTCTTCAAACGCATCTGCATCAAAATCCCAGCTACAGTTCACAATGTAATTCATTGTCTCTGCATCTGTTTCCCCCAGAAATGGAGACAAGCCACTGAGCCTGGAAAGGAAACAGATGCCCACCAACAAATGGAAAAGCACACTGTGATGGAAGAAGCAAATAATAAGCTTCAAATGGGAATAAAAGAGGGTGAAAGGAAACATCTCTGTAGGTCAGAAGGTTGTGAACCCTGATGGAGATCGGAAGAATAGCTGCAGAAGCAGTGCAGCATGCTTTGGAACAATCTTATACTGTTCTTTCTCCCCCTTTCTATCTCCCACCACAATTCATTTGGGCCGAAACCTCAGATCGTCAATCTTCTACACTTTGATTCAATAAAAATATCTTGAGATATCTGTGAAGCAATCACACCCAGTGTAAAACACTACCCTGCCTCTTCACAGAAGCCCTGGTACCCAGAAGCCTGATGAACTTAGTATTCATCATCTCTGGGCATAGATGGTAGGATGCTAGAGAGAGAAATAGGAAATTGATCCAAGCTGCCAAAGTTCCTTTCCAGGCCCAAGTTCTACCCAGGTCCCCTCCTTCTACACACACAGTGTCTGGAAAGGGCCAAAGGGCCCAAGCTATGACAAAATGATAAACAGCCTTCCTGAAATTGAGAGCCAAGAACTTCTCCAAACTAGAGCAGGAGGTCCATGGTCACAGGAAGCTGAGGATATTTAGTCAGACACTTAAATCTCCTACCAACTACATCATAGAGCTACTTCCTCTTCCCAGTGTGAAAAAAAAAATCAAGGGGGTTAGACAGGCAAGCAGCAAGCATAGGCAAACCCAGCACAAATCTCATCACTGCTATACTATCGCCTGGCCAGCCTGAGTTACTTACAGCATGTATGTGATGACACCCACACTCCACATGTCAGTGGGAAAGGAGACAAAATCATAGTTCACCACTTCAGGGGCCAGGAATTCTGGAGTGCCAAAGTTCACTTTCAGCTTCTCCCGGGGTTTGTACCTGTAGCCAGAGTCCAGGAGAACATCAGAGCTCTGAGAAAGGGGTTGGTAGGTAAAAAGATGAAAGGGTGCTAAAGGTAAAAATGACTCTAGGACGTATCTCTGGATTGAGGCCATTACTAGACTTCTCTGGCAACCACACTGGCTTGAGATGGCTGTGTGGACCCTTTGTAACATGGAGGAGATGAGACAGTCTCCCTCCCACACCCCCTTATCCACTTGGTCATGCACTGGGAATACAGAGCCAGGGACACTATGGGAGAGACACAAAGGAAATGGAGGGAGAGTGCTCTAGATGGGGAGACAGAAGAGATGCCACTTGCAAATAAGCAGGAAATCATTAAGGTGAAAACTCTTGAAAATAAAATTTTATTGGCATTTGTTTTGTTTTTATATCAGCTACATTTCCTAGTATATCCCATTCTCTCCCTCTCTAGAAAGCCATCTCCTATGACAAAAAAAATAAAAAATAAAAACCAACACACTGAAAAAGTCTGACATTGTATGTAGCACCCCACATCTGCAGTACCTCACCTCTGTAAAAAAGGAGGGGAGCACATTCTCATAGATGTTCTTTGGGGCCAATCTTGGTCATTATCATTTCATAGCATTCAGTTTTTATTTTTGATGTTATTCCTCCAATTGGTTAAAACTGTTTAAAGTGTTGAGGTGCACTGGAGTGCTTTGGGGTTGGTGCTATCATTTAGGGAAGACTTATTGGAGGAGATCAACCTAAAATTGGAGGACCTGGATTAGATTCCTGGCTCTTTCCTTCACCACTACCTGTGTGATGTGGGGTAAATAAGTGATTCAGCTTCTCTGCCTGACTCCCTCCTCGCTCTGCATTTTCTTGTTGAAAGCTAACATCCAAGACCCAGAGTTAAGCACTCTCTGGTTGGGCAGAATCTCATAAGCTCTGAGGACTAGGACTTTCTTTTTTTTCCTTAATAGTATTTTTTTCCAATTATATGTACAGATAGTTTGCAACATTCAGTTTTATAAGATTTTGAGTTCCAAGTTTTTGTCTCCCTCCCTTTTTTCCCCCTCCACAAGATGGCATGGAATCTGATATAGGCTATACATGTACAATCACACTGAACATAAAGACTTTTTCTAATAATGCCAGGTTTACACATATCTATCTGTAATTGGAGGGGGGTGGGGCATACAAGGAAGAGACCACTGCTCAGGCCTGCCTCTTGAGTAAACAAGACTCAGCAGTTAAGGAGACAGATGCAAGAGGGAAAGAATGCTTTCCAGAACCCACAGAGATAGGCCCGGCTTTCAGGCCCTGGAATCTGGTTGCCTAGGTTACCCGCCCAGGCTGGTACTTCCCACTCCAATGCTGGGTGAGCATTTCTCAGAACCCACTGCCTCCTCACCAATGTTGTTGTTGTTCAGTTGTTTCATTTGTATTTGACTCTTCGTGACCCCATTTGGGGTTTTCTTGGCAATGATACTGGAATGGTTTGCCATTTCCTTCTCCAACTCATTTTATAGATGAGGAAACTGAGGCAAACAGGGTTAAGTGATTTGCCCAGGGTCACACAGCTAGGAAGTATCTGAGGCTAGATTAGAATGCAATAGCTACATGGAAATATGCTCTGGAGAGGCAGCTCGCCCTATCCTCCATTTACTGTGCTAGGATTTAATATTCATACATGAAATGGATTTTCTTTAGATTCTTATTTTTACTAAGAAGCCATCTATAAGAATTCCAATGATAATTTAAGACATTTTGGTAATTACTCTGCCATATCCCTCTCCTTATGCTGTTCAACCACTCCCAGAGTCCCCAGGTGGACCAACAAAGGCTCAAATGAAATAGACTTGGACTGAGGGATTCAGGTTTTCTCTTAAAAGGAAGGCTGTCAGACGGCTCAGTGGATAGCAACGGCAGGCCCTGATGTCACACATTCAGCGGTCTTTGGAAGTCCTTTACTTGATACAAAGCGGTGTAGTGTGGTACAGGATAGACCGCTGTTCTGGAGTCGAGAAGATCTGAGTTCAAATCTGGCCTCAGACACTAGCTGTGTAACCCTGGGTAAATCACTTAACTCCTATTTGTCTCAGTTTCTCATCTGTACAATAGGGACACACTGGAGAAGGAAATGGCAAACCACTCCAGTATCTTGGCCAAGAAAATGCCAAATGGGGTCACAAAGAGTCTGAAATGACTGAACAGTGACAACAATACTTGCTACAAAAGAGGGACTATAAGCATGAGGATGAAAGCTAGCATGTTAGTTGCTTTTGTCAAGCAGTTTTTTAATATTTTGTTGCAAGGGATGGCTTGCTAGATTGGGGAGGGGAGAAGGGTATTTTAGGAAATGAAGGTGATGCAAAAACTAAAGATAGCAATCATTTTAATAGAATAAAAAGAGGTCCTTAGCTGTCTAGTACATCTTGAATGTAGCTCTGCCTAAAATCAAGAAGACAGACTAGAATAACTCCCATGTGAAATATAGGGCCTGCAGCAGCAGCAACACTCCAGCACACCGGCCCTGAAATCAGGAGGACCTGAGTTCAAATCCGGCCTCAGACACATAACACTTACTAGCTATGTGACCCTGGGCATGTCACTTAGCCCCATTGCTCAGCCAAAAATTAAATAAATAAATTAAATTAAAAAAATATAGTTGGGAACCATTTAACAAAATAAATAAAAACATAATAGAGCATATATCATGATTTTCTAAGTCAAAGTGCTGCTCACTGGGATCCATATGTATAGTTTGGTGGCCCCCATTTCCATTTGAATTTGACACCACTGGGCTAGAAGACCTTTTGAGGTCTTCTGGGACTCTGGGCTTCAAAGAATCTGGGGTTAAACTGAAGGAACAAAAGTCGGCTTCCTACAAAGATCTCCCATGCTACGTGATGCCAGGAGCAAAGTAAGTATTTGACCCTGATCTGACAGGATATAGAATGCTGAGTCTAGGGAACAGCCAGTTTAACTGTAGAGTTACATGAAGAGGAAGAATGTAAAATGTTTGAAAAAGAGAATCCGAGCCAGGTTGTGAAAGGCCTGTAAATGCTAGGCTGAGATTTCATTATATCCTAGATGCAAGATTTTTGAGCACGGGGCTTCCAGGATCAGACCTGTGCTGTAGGAAGGAATTTTGGCAGCTGTTTAAAAGACAGAGTAGAGAGAAGAGAAACTAGATAAGGAGAAAACCAATTAGGAGCTCCCTGCAATAGTCCAAGTGAAAAAGGAAGACAATCTGGACCAGGGTGGTGAGAGTAGGTAGAAGGAAACAGATGTGAGAAATGCTGCAAATGACTGGATATGGGTGGACAAAGGCAGGGAGGTGGTGAGGGAGAATGGACAAGGGAGGGAGGTGATGAGGGGAGAGGAGAAGAGGATGACACTGAGATTACAAAACTGGGGAACTAGAGGGATGATGGTGCTCTCCAAAAATAGGGAAGTTTTGCAAGTATTATCTGTAATGGGGATGAACCAGAAGTCTTTCCAAAAAGATCAGGGATAAAGCAAGGATGTCCATTATCACCATTACTATCCAATAGTGTATTTGAAATGCTTGTAATAGCAATAACGCAAGAAAAAGAAATCAAAAGAATAAGTACAGACAAAAAGAAAACAAAACTATTACTTTTTGCCGATGATATGATGATTAATTTAGAGAACCCTAGGGAGTCAGCCAAAAAACTGGTTGAAACAACTAACTCACACAAATCATCAGCATTTTTACATATAGACAAAAAAAGTCCAGCAAGAAGAGATAGAAAGAGAAATTCTATTTAAAAAAATTACAGACAGTACAAAATACTTGGGAGTCTATCTACTAAGTCACACATAGGAATTATATGAACACAATTACAAAACACTTCACACAAATAAAAATAGATCCAAATAATTGGAGAAAAATTAATTGCTCATGGGTAGGCTGAGCCAATATAATAGAAAATGACAATACCACCTAAATTAATTTATTTATTTGGTGCCATACCAATGAAAACACCAAGGAATTACTTTATAAAGGTAGAAAAAAATAGCAAAATTCATTTCAAGGAAAAGGTCAAGGATATCAAGGGAATCAATGGGGAAAAAATGGAAAGAAAGAGGTCCTAACATTACTAAATTTCAAACTATACTACAAAGTTGTAATCATCAAAATAATTTGGTACTGGATAAAATAGAGTGGTTGATCAATGGAACAGATTAGGTATGCAAAGCAAGTAAGAACAGTAACTAGTGTTTGATAAACCCAAAGTTCTGAGCTATTGGGGTAAGAATTCACTATTTGACAAAAACTGCTGAGAAAACTGAAAAATAGTCTGGCAGAAAATGGACATAGACCAACATATCACATCACATATCAATATAAGCTCAAAGTAGGTACCTGATTTAGACATAAAAGATGATACATAAGCAAATTAGTAGAGCATGGAAGAAATTACCTGTCAGATCTATGGATAGGGGAAGAGTTCATAACCAAACAGGAAGTAAAGAAGCTCATGGAGGTAAAACGGATAGTTTTGATTACCTAAAATTTAACAATTTTAACAAATTTAACAAATTTAAATAAAACCAATGCAACTAAAACTAGAAGAAAAGCAGGAAACAGGGGGGGTGAGTCTTTGCAGCAAGTTTCTCTGATAAAGGTTTCATTTCTCAAATATATGGGGAACTGAGCCAAATTTATAAGAATAAGAACCATTCCCCAATTGATAAATGGTCAATGGATATGAACAGGAAGTTTTCAGACAAAGAAATCAAAGCTATCTATAGTCATATGAAAAAATGCTCTAAATCACTTTGATTAGAGAAACGTAAATTAAAACAACTCTGAGGTAAAACTTCACACCCATCCATTTGGCTAAGATGACAGATAAGAAAAATGACAAATGTGGAAAGAATGTGAGAAAATAGATACACTAATGCATTGTTGGTGGAACTGTGACCTAGTCCAACAATTCTAGACAGCAATTTGAAATTATACCACAAAAGCTATTAAACTATGCATACCCCTTGACCCAGCAATACCACAACTATACCACAAAGAGATCAAAGAAAAAGGAAAAGGGACCATATGGACAAAAAAATGTATATCAGCTCTTTCTGTGGTAGCAAAGAATTAGAAACTGAAGAGATGGCCACCATTTGGGGAATGGCTGAAAAAGTTACCATATACGAATGTGATAGAATACTATTGTGCTGTAAGAAATAACTAAGGGATTGGTTTTAGAAAATTCTAGAAATACTTATATGAGGTGATATAAAGTGAAGTGAATATAACAATTTACCCAATAACAGCAGTGTTGTAAAGATAATTAACTGTGAAAGACTTAGTAACTGATCAACCCAAAGACCAAAGGACTCTTGGAGAAAAATGCTGTCCACCTCCAGATGGAGAGCAGATTGAAGCATATTTTCCTCTCTCTTTTTCTTGTTCTTTTTTTCTTCCCAGAACATGGCTTATGTGAAAATTGGTTTTGTATGACTTCATATTTGTAATGGCTTCTGTATTTCTTGCCTCTTTAAGGAGTGGGGCAGGAGTGGGAGGAGGGAAAGAATCTAGAACTGAAAGTAAAATAAAACCAAATGGTACAAAAAAAACCCAAGGAAGTCTGAAAAACTAGTGAGTTGGAGGGTAGTCCAGAAAAATGATGAATTGCATTTTTGACATGCTGGATTTGAGATTTCAATCATTAAGAGTGGGACAGGTGAAGATAAGCAGGGAGTATATTATAGGCTTGGGGGGGAAGATGGGGAGTACAGATGAGACCAGAGAACAGAAAAGTCAATAGTACACTTTGACTGAAACATGGAGTGAATTGAGAGGGTGAATCAATCGTAAGAAAAGCCTGGAATAGTTAAGTGGGAGCCAGATTATGGAAGGCCCTAATTTAGGAAATTTGTATTTTATTTTCTTGCAGTGGGGAGTCAATAAAGAATTTTGAGCATAAGAGTGATACAGTAGAAACAATGTTTCAGGAAACTGGTATGTAGCTTTTGTAGATTGGGGGAGGGAAGAAAGAATTATCGTATAAATTGAGTTTATTTTTCAAGCATATGTATCTTATCTCTCCAAACAGCTCACAAATTCTTGAAGTCTGGGACCATGTCTTACGGATCTCTATCCCTCATAATCCCCTGTGCACACTGTAGACTCTTAATATGCTTGAGGAAGAATGAATGAATTAAATTGAACTGCCTCTCCTAGGTTTGCTGTCTTCCATCCCTCTTCCTATAAGGTGATTTGGAAACCCAGTTAAGTACAACTGTAATATAAACAAACTGTGGCAATTATCCTATGCATTTGCATGTGAAAATAGATGTCTGCTACCAAGAGCTTAGTGCTTTTCTCATACATTCTCCAAAATCCTTATGGGAGAGCTGACCAAGTAGTTGTATATGATTGTGATGGAATACTATCGTGCTATAAAAAATGACGAGCAGGATGCTCTCAGAAAAACCTGGAAAGACTTCTACGAACCGATACAAAGTGAAATGAGCAGAACCAGGAGAACACTGTACACAGTAACAGCAATACTATATGATTGTCTGCTGTGAATTACTTAACTATCCTCAGCAATACAATGATCCAAGACTTATGATGAAAGGTGCTATCCATCTCCAGAGAAACAGCTGGTGGAGCCTGAATGCAGATCAAAGGTATTTTTTCTTAACTTTCTTCATTTTTCATGGGGTTTTTTGTCTGTGTTTTCTTTCACAGCGTGACTTACATGGAAATATGTTTTGCATGTCTATACTATGTCAAATTGCTTGCCTTCTCAGTGAGGGGGAATGGGGAAGGTGGAAGGGAATTTGGAACTCAAAATTTGAAAAAAGAATGCTAAAATTGTTTTTACATGTAATTAGGGAAAAAATATTAAATAAATCCTTATGGACTCAACTGATCCTTCCATGAACAACAATTCAATTCAATAAACATGTATTAAACACCTGCTGTGTGCATTATGCTGGATACCAAGGATACAAACACTGAAATGAAACCGCCCTCGCCCTCAAGGAGTTTCCTTACTTACATTCCATATGATATAAGTGATAGATGCAATAAATAAGTAAATTGCAAAATGTAGATAAGTAAATTTTAAAAAATACAGATATACATATGTACAAGATGAATTCAAACGTATCTAGAGGAAAACTAACATGGAAAGAAGGAAAGAAATAAGCATTTTTGAAGAGCAATCCAGTGGGGAAGAAGGGAAAGGAAAGGGTACAGCCTGTACAAATGCACAGAAGATGGAATATTGTGGATGGGAAACCACCACTAGGTCAATTTGGCTAGAACCTAGGGGTAGGAAGAGGAGTAATAGGTGAAAACAGTCTGGAAATATGGGTAGGAGCCAGATAAGACCAAACTTTATCCAAAAAATTTGTTATTCAGCGGCTCTGACTGCCAAGTTAAAGACTTCCTTCCCCTGTGGTCATTCCCCTCTCCCTCTTGTTGGACCACCCCAGCCCCAACCACCTTGAGTTCCAAGGCTGTGATGCATTCCCATTCCATTGTGCCTTCGGGAGCCATGTTTAATTTTTAAGCTTCCTTTCATCCTGGATTTCTTTCTATCTTCTGGCCCTTACTACATCCCTGGCCTCCATCTTCTGCCTGTTTACCCAGCAGGAGCAAACATACTGATACCACCTTCAAGGCCACATCCAAAATCTCCCTCAGCCACTATTACTCATCAACTTTTGTTCTTTTAAGATTCACTCCATTTGTCTGTACCACTTCTAACTGTGATACTTTCAGGATTTTGAACTCTGAAATTCTTCTCTGTTCATTACCTTTTATCCTTCCACCTCTACCTCTGCCTTATTCCTTTTAAAAGTATTCTTCATCCTTGCAAAGAGTTGCAGGTTTTTCTGAATTTAATCGAGGCTAAGCATGGTGGCACAAGCGTGTAATCCCTGCTACAGCTGGGATATGGCTAAGTTGCAGTGGGCTCTGCTAACTGGGTTTCAGAACTAAGAAAGGTATTAATACGATGAGTCACCTGGGAGTGGGGAACCCACCCCCAAAGGAGGTATCCAGAACAAGTCAAAGCTCCTTGGTCAATCACTAGTAGGATGGAGCTTGTCACTAACCCCTACTTCTAGCCTGCACAAGATAGTAAGACCTAGTCTTTTTTTCTTTTAAATTTGCAATAAACTAAAATTTCAGAGAAAATTTTTTGTTCTTTGAGGGTTCCCAAAGGTTATAAAACACTACATTTATCATATTTCATGTACTCTTTTGTTTTTATTCTGGTAAATGAAATGTTACAGGGCAGACCTCACCTTTCTAGAAAGTGGCTAATAGATGGTCAGTTAAGAGCAGTTTTGTTTACATAAGGCCAATTTTCTATTCAGGAGACAAAATGTCAGTTTAAGCGATTTCTAAAAGGTGGCCAGGGACAAGAAGATATAGTAAACAAATAAATGTTTTGTTTATGTTCAAGCAGTGTTTATTTCTCCTTTTTTCCTTCAGTCCCAGTACCTCGTCCAGGGCCTTGAACATAATGGGTACTTAATAACAATTGTTGAATTGATTTGATAGGCAAGGTGAAAAGGTCTTACCTTCTGGCCAGCCCAAAGTCGATGATTTTAATTTGGTTTCCCATCTGATTTACACATAGTATGTTCTCTGGCTAGGAAAGACAAAAAAGAGAATTTGACAGATGGCTGTTATTCCAATGGTGAATGAAGCACTCAGTACAGGCTGCACAAAACAGTCTGCTGAACGAATAGATGTGTTAGGGCAGCGGTTTGGGGACCTCACCCTTTTTGCGGTCTGCAAGATCAAAGTTATTTTCATGCTAATCCTAATACATTCTAATTTCTAATACAGTTAATGTCCACAGATAAAGTCAGTGGTGTGCTAATAATCAGCTTTCAGAAAAACTACATGTACTTACAACACACTTTTAACTTTAACCTGCACTATTAACCTTTTCTCCATCACTTTCTTAAGTCTCGACAATCAATAAAACAGTACATCAAGCCGGGTGTGTGGCATTTGCAGATTTCAAAGGTATAAATGCTCACACTGAAAGTTTAACAGTTGGCGCTCCCAAGCTAGTTCAAGCTATCCCCAGCACACCCCAGGATATATAGAGTCCACATAAATGAAATCTCTTTGGAGGGGGTCCTCAATCATTTTTAAGAGTGCAAGTTGCTCAGATGGCCTAACAGGGAGGCCCTGAGTTCCCTGTCATGTCCCCTTACCAGACAGCTGACCTAGGAACTGGAGTCAAGACAACCTTGGACAGGGTCCAGTTTTCCAGATGTGATGTTTCAGCCAGCCAGCCTGGCAGAGAAGCCAGGGTATGTAGGACTCAAGTCCCAGGGGTGGGGTTTAGGATTTGGAACCAAACTGAGCTGTGTGTATATTTGTTTTATAGCTTGCTTTGTACTGTACAAGCCAGCTCCATTGTTATAACTTTGCAAACTTCATTTGCTGATTGCTTGACCTATACTTTTCATATGATTGAATTCCCTGTATACAAGTATTGATGGACAGATAGGTTCGGTATTAGTATTTTTTTTTGTGCATATAAATGACTCTTTATGCCTTCCCCTCAAACAAGAGGGGGTAGGCAGGGGTAGACCCCCCTGCCCTCATGCAGGGAGCAGGAGGTGGGTATACACTAGTCTTATTGCCAGATGACCTGTGGCCATAGAGTAGGAGGGGTGGGTGAGTTGGTAGCCCCTTCCTCCTGGCATTGGCCCCCCTTCACCAAATCATCCCTGTGGAGTCAGAAGCCAGAGGCCGTGTGAGCTGAAGTAAAGATGATTCTCTCCACTCTCTCCAGGGGAAAAGATGTTCTCCCCACTTCCCAGGAGGATAAGCGGCCATCAATGAAGATTGAAATTTCTTCCAGGTGGAATCTTTGCCCCAGGGAAAGATGAGTGATCAGTGGGGACCAAATATTATCTCCAGTAGTCATGTCAACATCAGAGATCCCTTGATGTGTTGGAGCAGTCAGGTACAGGAGCAACACCTTGTCTAGGTGGAATCTCCACTGGTTCAAGGAAGATGCTCAGCAAGGGCTGGACCACATCTCCAGTTTGGTAAAAGTACAAGAGAGAACTTTTAATGTGAGAACTCTGTCATCACCAGAATGATACCACCTAGTATAAATGTTCATATTGTTCTTTGGCATTCAAATCAACCTAGACCAGGAGTAGGGAACTTGAGGCCTCCAGGCCACATGTGACCCTCTAGCTCCTCAAGTGTTGCCCTTTGACTGAAGCCAGACTTCACAGAACAATCCTCTTAATAAAAGGATTTGTTCTGTTAAATTTGGACTCAGTTAAGAGGCTGCACCCGAGGACCTAAAAGGCCACAGGTTCCCCACCCCTGACACAGACCTTTTGCTTATAGGAACTGGGCTAAGCTGTTTATATATTTGCTTTATACTTTGGAGTAAATATTTCTTTGCCAAAGGAGTGGAGGAAGAATTAAAAGTGTCCTGACACCATATAGTGAGAATTGTCGTTTTACAGGAAGACCGAAGGCAAAGGGAGAAGGGTACAGCAGAGGATGTGATGGATAGATAGTGTCATGGAAGCAACAAACATGAGCTTGGACAGACTTCAGGAGACAGTGGGATAGACGGGCCTGACATGCTGTGGTCCATGGGGTCACCAATCCAATATGACTAAAAGACTGACACAAGGCAAACTACAACTTGCAGTTAGGTGGCACAGTGGATAGAGTGCTGGGCCTGGAGTCAGGAAGACTTATCTTCCTGAGTTCAAATCTGGCCTCAGACACTTACGAGCTATGTGACCCTGGACAAGTCACTTAACCCTGTTTGCCTCAATTTCCTCATCTGTTAAATGAGCTGGAGAAGGAAATGACAAACCACTCTAGTATCTTTGCCAAAAAAACCAAATGGGGTCATGGGGAGTGGGACACAACTGAACAACAACCCCAAAAAAACCTACTAAGCTGCTTGTTTTTCTTATATTCCACCTCCTTTTATTAGGCCCTTAAGATAAGAATGGTTTTTACACTTTAAAATAAATTTATTTTAAAATGTAAAAAATTATTCTTAACTGGAGTTGTACAAAAACAAATGGTCTGGATTTGGCTCTAGGGCCATCATTTGTTGACTCCTAATTTTTTTTTTTTGAGGTGGATCAATAGAGAAACCTTTTCTCTCCTTTTTATTTTTATTTTTTAAATTAATTTAATTAATTTTTAAAATTAATTTATTTTGAATTATCAACAATCACTTCCATAAGCTTTTGAGTTTTAAATTTTTCTCCCCCTCACTCCCCGCCTCCCTCCCCAAGACAGCACACAATTTGATATAGGCTATACATATACATTCCTATTAAACATATTTTCACATTAATGATATTATAAGAAAGAATTAGAACCAATAGGAGGAACCACCAGAAAGAGGAAACAAAACACAACAGAAGAAAAAAAATAGCAAATAGTATGCTTTGATATGCATTTTAACTCCATAATGTTTCTTCTTTGTGGATAGCATTTTCATCATGAGGCCTTTGGAGACGTCTTAGATCCTTGTATTGCTGTGACTCCTATATTAAAGGATTGTACAAACCAAAATTCTGAACAGAAGCAAACTTCTCGCAACCTGCATTGAATGAAGTGGCTTCTAAGCCACTTCTAGCCAGTCTGGCCCTCTCCCAGAGGGCAGCTAGGTGCATAAAGCACTGGGCCCGGAGTCAGAAAGTGTTCATTCATTTCAATAATGTTGCCAACTTTCCATGACCCCATTTTGGGTCATGGACCTGAGTTCAAATAGGGCCTCAAACACTTATTAGCTGTGTGAACCCAGGCAGATCACTTAACTTTTGTCTGTCTCAGTTTCCTCAACTATAAAATGGGCATAATAATTAGCACCTACCTTTCAAGGTTGTTGTGAGGATCAAATGAAATAATATTTATATAGTGCTTAACACATAGGAGGAACTAAATAAATGCTTATTCCCTTCCCTTCCCCTTTTCTGCTCGGAAGATAATGTAATGTTTTCTGGGAAACGAACTATGAAGACACAGATATCTCTGGAATGTGAAGAATCTGAAATCAGAATTCCTCAGGTAGGACCAGAAGGGCTAGGAATGAGGCAAGGGTTGGACTAAAACCTTTATTTTTTAATCATCTTGGCATGTTTAGCACATTAGCATGAAAAGCCCTCTCTCTTTAGGAGAGTAACATCAGCTATATCTCTCAGGAGTAGAGCCAGCTCCCTACCACATTCCTTGCAGAGGTGTTCTGAACAGTAAATAAAACAGGGCTGTAGCCATTTCTGGGATACACTTACCAACCGCCCCAGCAGCCTACTATTTAGTGACAAGGGCCAATACTGGAGCCCAGGTTAAGAACAACACCCTTTTCTCCCTGCATGGCCTTGGTCATCTTTGTTGTTGTTATTGTTCAGTTGTGTCCGACTCTGAGACGCTGGAGTGGTTTGCCATTTCCTTCTCCAGCTCATTTTACAGGTGAGGAAACTGAGGGAAACAGGGTTAAGTGACTTGCCCAGGGTCACACCCCTACTAAGTGTCTGAGGTCAGATTTGAACTCAGGCCTTCCTGATTCCAGGCCTGGAACTCTATCCACCTTCTTGGTAATACCTGAATTATGAATTGACACCTGTCAGAAGAGAGAGCATAACAACTTCTCCTTTCCCCCTCCTCAATTCACTTATAGCTAAAACAAATAGGAAAGTGGATCAGACTGGATCATGTCTTGTGTTGTTAACGGGGCTGACCTTCCCTGGCTCAGTCAGTACCTTTCCAGGAACAGACCTGTACCGGCCTTCAGGTCTGGCATTTAGCTAAGAACGCAGATGTGCTGTTGCCTCTGACCCTTGGCAGCTGTGTGGCAGGAAAGAAGGTAATGACATGGAATTTGATGAGATTGGAAGTAGAATCACAGATTTTGAGTTGGAAAGAACCTCAACGGCCTTCTTGTCCAACCCCCTTCTTTTACAGATGAGGAAACTGAAGCCCAGAGAGAATAAGTGATTTGTCCAAAGTACACAGGCAATAATAGCTCTTAGTTGTTCCTGAGTAATTGGCTCAGCTTAAAGACACTGGTTTTCCTGAGGATTCATTCTTTGGGTTTCTCCTGGTGGGCACAGTGGCGATCAGCAGCTCTGTTCCTTCCCTTTCTGGGGAGCAAAAGCACAGTGTTCCCTCTCTCCTTCCCTCCACTGCTTTCTCTTTCGCTCCCTTCTTCCCTCCAGAACAGGTCATCTGATTCTCTCTTACTTTTAGGAATGCTTGAGCATACCTAGTTCTTTTTTTTTCTTTTTTTTTTTTACATAAATTTATTTATTTTTATTTTTCAATATTCACTTCGAGAGTACCTAGTTCTTGAGGGTTACTGTTAAGAATTACATTCTCAGGGGCAGCTAGGTGGCACAGTGGATAGAGCACCAGCCCTGGAGTCAGGAAAACCTGAGTTCAAATCCAACCTAAGACACTTGACACTCACTAGCTGTGTGACCCTGGGCAAGTCACTTAACTCTAATTACCTCAAGGGGAAAAAAAAGAATTACATTCTCAGTTTACAGAAGTTATTGTAAAAGAATTTATATGCTTGTTCTGGGCTAGGAGTTTCCCCCTAGGTCTATGCATGTGCTAGTCCTCATAAACAACTCTCTCTCTCCCTCAATCAAGCAAAATTGATTTTTTAAAAAATTTAATGGGGCTCGACCAGCCAAGTGAACTATGGTCTACAACCTAAAAGATCCAAAGCTACTGGTGGTGTGGGGGTTAGGTGGACTCCTAAATCCTTCCCCAGAGGGAAGATAATGACATGAAATCTGACTAGAATGGAAATAGGAAACAAGGCAGCTGAGTGGCACAGTGGACAAAGCTCTGGACCTGAAGTCAGGAAAACCTAAGTTCAAATCCAGCCACAGACGCTTCATTAGCTGGGTGACTCCAGGCAAGTCATTTAACCATCTGTAAAATGGGGATACTAATAGTACCTACCTTCCAGGGTTGTTGTGAGGATCAAATGAGATAATTATAAAGTGCTTAGCACATAGTAAGCGCCATACAAATGTTAGCTATCATTATTTACTATGCTGATTAATAAGTTTTCCTAATTCAGTGCTATACTTGGAGTCTGGAAGACCTGAGCTCGAATCCCTCAGGGATTTATATTTGTTGTTGTTGTTAACTTATATTTATATATTTTTATGGGCAGCTTGATGATGCAGTAGATAGACTGCAGGGCCTGGAATCTGGAAGATTCATCTTTGTGAGTTCAAATCCGGCCCCAGAAACTTATTGGCTGGGTAATCCTGGGCAAATCACCTAACCCTGTATGCCTCAATTCCTCATCTGTAAAATGAGATGGAGAAGGAAATGGCAAACCACTCTAATATCTTTGCCAAGAAAACCCCAAATGGGGTCACAAAGAGTTGGACACAACTTAGTGACAACAACAACATATACATAGGTCTGTGTGACCTTGGGCAAGTCATTTAACCACTTCCAGTCACAGTTTCCTCATCTATGAAATGAAGATAATAACAGCACCTACTTTAAGGGTTTTCACAAGAATCAAATGAGATAATATATGTAAAGTGCTTTGCAAACCTGAAAGAGCTATACAAATGCTAATTGTTATTATTATTATTATTAGTTTATTTGGCTCATAGAAAAAACTAATACAATCTGAGTCAAGATCTTGAGACTTCATTCTTTCTAAGAGAGAGGTACCTTGGCTGCTCCAGAGGGAAGGATATAGTTTTGACACTTATAAAACTTTTAGGGAAATAAAGCCTTTCACTAAATCCTTTTTCCTCCTTTTTCAATGACTAATCATCTTTCTATTAGGAAACTGTAAATGGTTTAGAACAAATTCTAAGGTCTGAAAATGGATTAAGGGGAGTAACCAGGCTTAGAGCCTTAATACTGGTACTTAGGTCTAGGTAAGGTCCTTGCCTATAACCACCTTTGATCAGGCTGATTGGTTTAGGAAATGATTCTCTAGAATTTCTAGACATTTCAAGTGACTATTGTTCAGACTGATGAAGCAGACCATTAACTGATCTGTTACCTAAACTCTGAACCCTTGCTCAATCTTAACTGTGAAATTTTGTCTACTGTTTGAGGAATATTATAAATTACAACCCCAAGAAAGATTAACAGCTGCATTGGGTAACTGCTCATCTTGGGATCTTTCCTAAAGCAGAAATGTTTAGAATTAGTTTCATTTAAATTAATAAAAGGCTAGCTTGTGCCTAAAATATAGAGTAAAGAGTTTTCTTCTACCAAAGTAGCATCCAAAAAGCCAGACCAAGATTCCAAGCATATTGAGGTATGCTGGAAAGACTGAGAGGTCAGGAGATGTGTTCTTGTATGTTCTCGTATGTGCCCTGATGTCAGCTAGCTATGTAAATCATTTATCCTCTGGGTATCCTGCTAGGTAAAAGGAGGAGATTGGATTAGATGACCCCTGAGGTTCCTTCTAGCATTGACTTTCTAGGATAATTTAATTGCCATGGAGCTCCAACAGCCTGTGGTTCTAGGATCAATCCTTACTGACCTTCAGGTCCAGGTGTAGAATGTAATGCTGGTGCAGGTAGTGAAGGCCCTCACAGATCTGTTTGGTGAACAGGACCGCATCAAGCTCTGTCAGGTGGTACTTTTCATCTGTGATCCGGTCAAATAGCTCGCCACCATCGACGCTGCAAGTTCAAACAAGAAGAGGGTACGTCATTGAGTTCCCAGGAAGATTCGGTTGTGATCATCCCTGTCTTTCCACTTACAGCAAGAGACACAATAACAATATGGTTTTAGTGGGCGTCAAGAGGCTACAGGAGAAAAGGAAGAAGCATTTATTAAGTGCCTCCTAAGTGCTGGGCACTGTGCTAAGTGAATTTGATCAGAAGACCTGAGTTTTAATCTACCTGTGTGACTACGAGCAACTCATTACCCCTCTCTTGGCTCTGGTCTCCTCCTTTACAAAAGGAGAGAGTTGCCAAGGAGCAAAGACAGAAAGAAAAGTCCCATACATGCCAAAATATTGACAGCAGCATTTTTGTGCATGGTAGCAAAGGACTGGAAGCAAAATAGAGACTCATCAGTTGGGGAATGGTTAAAAAAAAGTGGACATACGTGAAAGTAATAGAATACTTTTAATATGAAGAATTCAAAGAGGCATAAGACTGATACAGAATGAAGCAGAACAATAGTATGCAATATACCCAATGACTACAATCACAGAACAAAAAATAAAAATAAAAAGAAGGAGTGTATACTTATTATAACCAAGAAGTCTGACCTTGGAGAAGAGTTGAGAAAATTCACCTTCCTCCTTTTTTTGCAGAGGTGGGACACTCTGGGTGAGGATTATTGCATGCCCTGTCAGATTCAGCTGATTATATTGGTTAGTTTTCCTGGAACTGCTTTATTTTTTTCTCTTTCTTTTTTCATTTGTTGTAGATTGTAAGTTCCTTGAGGGTTAGGGACTGTCTTTTGCCTCTTTTTTGTATCCTTACTACTTAGCACAGTGCCTGGCACATAGTAGGTATTTAATAAATGTTTATTAATTGATTGATTCATTGTTACAAGGGATGACTCACCTACTAGGGGATGGGCGAGGGATCTATTAGTAAATGAAGTCATTGCAAAAACAAAAGATATAATTTAAAATGCTTTTAAAAAGAAACAAAGGGTTTGATTTAGGTGATTTCTAACTGCCTTTTGCAGCTTTGAATCCTATAAACGGAGCAGCAGCTCTGCACCCCTCCCTCACAACTCCCAGGTTTTAATCTCCACCATTCAGGAGCTGATCTTGGAGTCTGTACCAGTCACCAGGGTCTTTCCTCTTGCTTCTGCCTCTCCTACTGTCTTCTGGTCAAAATAGGGGTAGATGAAAAGGGAGAAGAGAAAAAACTCAAACCTATTCATTCTGGGAAATTGGAAATGGAAAAAAAATAGTCAACAACCATCCAAAGAGTTTTTGTATTATCAAGGCATGCTGCTTATCCAAGTTCTTCCTGACCCTGGAAATCATACACCATCTAGAATTTCCTTTAATAAAACTTTCTGATCTAGTTCTGCCTGAAGGAGCTTTACCAACAATTACTCCATTCACCAAACCCTGTTTATAGAGACTGGGACGCTGAGGGAATGGAGATGAAGGAAAACTTGCCCTATATCACATAGCAAGTTGTTGCCATATTAAGTCATTCAGTTGTGTATGACTCTGTGACCCTGTGGACCACAGCACAGCCATTGCTTTCCATGGGGTTTTCTTGGCAAAGATACTGAAGTGGTTTGCCATTTCCTTCCCCAGCTCACTTGACAGACAAGGAAACTGAGGCAAGCAGGATTAAGTGACTTGCCCGGAGTCATACAGCTAGTAAGTGTCTGAAAGTGGATTTGAACTCAGGTCTTCCTAACTCCAGACCCAGTGTTTTACCCACTGAACCACCCAGCTGCTTCACATAGCAAGTAAAACAGGGCAAAAGGAAAATCAAGGGCCTTCTTAAATCATAGATATGAACATGTCACCCCTGGGATCAAAATCTTCAATGGCTCTTGGCTGCCTCTAGGATAAAACCTATACTCCTGATGCTGGCTCTCAAGACTTTCCATGAAATGTCTCCAACTTGTCTCCCACCACTGCTTTGGTAATAATCAAAACTGAACTACTCATCATTTTCCTAATATGTCCCATGATTTCTTCCATGTCTTTGCTTATTTTTTTAAATACCTAGAGTAACCCTTCTTTATGCCTATTAAAATACTAACCATCCTTTAAGACCCAGCTTAAATGCCATCTTCTATTTGGTATGTCTTCTTCTCAGCCATAAGTGATCTCTCCCTTCCTTAAACCTTATAGTATTTTGCTCCTCCCTTATAGCTAACATCTAGTCCAACCCCTTCATTTTACAGATGAGGAAATCAAGACACAGAGAACTGAAATGACTTGCCCAACCTCACACAGAGAGTAAGTGGCAGACCAGGAATCTGAACCTATGTCCTCTATCCTGAAATCCATCAACCTTCCTCTAGACCAGTGGGGTCAAACTCAAATGGAAGCAAGGGCCACCAAACTATACCTAAAGATCTGGGTGGGTACGTATTGACTTAGAAAATCACATATTAACATTATCTATGTTTTACTGTATTTTTGTTTATTTATTAATTGATTGATTCTTTGTTACAAGGGATGACTCACCAACTGGGGGATAGGGGAGGAACTATTCATAAATGGAGTTATTATAAAAACAAAAGATATAATTTAAAATGCTTTTAAAAAGGAATGAAGGGTTATTCTGGTTCAAATGACTGTGGTGTGCCCAGGGCTGCCTCTTTGACACCTTCACTCCAGAACATGCTGCTAAGTACTGATTAATTCAAGGGTTATCAAAAGAAAGTGGAGTTCTGCCTTGGACACGCTGGCTATGTCCACGAGAACACAATGTTTTCCCCAATCCACCATCCATTGCCCATCATCCCACCTCCCCCCTTGGGGTTATACTCACTATTCCATGACCAAAGTGAAGCTGTTTTTGCTCTCAAAGGCATCATAGAGCTGGATCAGATTGACATGGCTGAGCTGGTTCATGATGTTGATTTCATTTTTCACTTCCTCCTGGGGAGAGAGGCATTTTTAGGACTATGAGGCTACAGATAATCTAGACTACTGTTTAAAGAATCCCCGTTTCCCAACACACACACACACACACACACACACACGCATCCCTCCCACTTTCCTTTTTCTTGTTCTAGGTCTCATTTCCCCTCTATTAGAGTCTACTAGACTCTAAGATCTGGAGGAGATCATAAGTTATCTAAGTCCAACCTCCTTCCTTTACTTGGTTTGTACTTGGTTCCTATTCAAACTATATAAGCTGGGTTGTTTGGGGGTTTGGTTTTTTTTGCCCCAAAAGACAAAAAAAAAAAAGAAAGAAAGAAAAAAGCCTTGGTCTAGATCATACATAGTTCAATTAAAAAAAATTAATCAGCATTACAACTTGGTTCAAGATTCACAAGTTAGTGCAGCGCCTTCCATTTCTGGATTCCCATTTTCTTTTGGTTCAAATCTCTTCAATGAGTAAGACAGCCCTATAATCCAGTGACTCTGGCCCTCTTGCTGGCCCTCACTCAAGACATAGCATCTCCTGATTTTGACTCCAGGCCTTTTACTGGCTGTCTTCTGTGCCTGGAATGCTTGCCCTCCTCCTCTCTGACCCCTGGCTTCTCTGACTTCCCTGGAGTCTCAGGGTGAAAATTTAGAGAATCCACCTCAAATGCTCACATGGACTGTTTGTGCCTGATCTGTGGCAGAGCCTTCTGAGCTCCAACTGGTCTGATCAGCCACAGTCGGACCCCCGTACCTGGACCCCAACGTAGCGATGTCATTTTGGTCTTCTTCGAGAACAAAGGACAACCACCAAGATCCCACCTTCTTCAAGAAACCATTCCCAGTCTCCTTTAAGGCTGGGCCTTCCCTCTGAGATCACTTCCAGTTTGTCCTGTCTATATTTTGTTTGTACAGGGTTTGCAGGTTTGTCTCCCCCCATTAGACTGTGAGGCCCTTGAGAACACAGACTGGTTTCTTAGAGTGCGGGGGAAGATTTTGAGGAAGGGATTGCCTATCTTTGGATCCCTAGGGCTTAGCACAGTGCCTGGCATGTAGTAAGCACTTAATAAATGTTTGTTGACTGACTAAGGGTTATCTTGCCTTCACTTGAAGACCTCCGACAAATGGAAGCCTACAATGCCATGAGGTAGTCCATTCCACTTTTATGACTGCTCTAATTATTAGGAAATTTTTCCTCATCCTGCACCAAGATCTTCCTCTTTTTTATTATTATTAATTTATTTTGATTTATCAACAATCACTTCCACAGGCTTTTAAGTTTTAAATTTTTCTCACTCTCCTTTCCCCCCTCCCTCCCCAAGACGATGTGCAATCTCATATAGGCTATACATATGCATTCCTATTAAACATATTTTCACATTAGTGATGTTGCAAGGAAGAATTAGAACCAATAGGAGTAACCATCAGAAAGAGGAAATAAAACAAAATAGAAGAAAAAATAGCAAATAGTGTGCTTCGATCTGCATTCAAACTCCACAGTTCTTTCTTTGGATATGAATAACATTTTCCACCATGAGGCCTTTGGAGATGTCTTAGATCCTTGCATTGCTGAGAAGGGCTAAGTCTATCAATGTTAGTAATTGCACAACGTGGATGTTACCGTATACAAAGTTCTCCTGGTTCTGCTCACTTCACTCAGCATCAGACCACACAAGTCTTTCCAGGTTTTTCTGAAATCTGACTGCTCATCATTTCTTATAGCACAATAGTATTCCATTACATTCATATACCACAACTTCTTCAGCCATTCCCCAATTGATGGGCATCCCCTCAATTTCCAATTCTTTGCCACCACAAAAAGAGCTGCTATAAATATTTTTGTACATGTGGGTCCTTTTCCTATTTGTATGATCTCTTTGGGATACAGCCCTAGAAGTGCTATTGCTGGGAAGATCTGCCTCTCTGTGCCTGCCATATATTCCTACTAGTTCTGCCCTCTGAAGCCAAGAAGAATAAGTCTAATATGCCTTAGACACAACAGCCCTTCAAATACTTCAAGACAGTTCCGATGGCCCTAAACATCTTCTATCCTCTAGGTTAGAGGTGTCAACACATGGCCCAAACCAGATGAAAGTGTAATAGGGAAATATTTAGTAAAATAAATAAAAATATAATAAAGTATAGAGATAATATGAACATGTGGTTTTCTAAGTCAATTTGCAGCCCACAGGGATCCTTATGTGTAGTTCAGTAGCCCCCTTTTCTATCTGAGTTTGACTCTATCATATTCAAGGCTAACTCCACCAAGTCACTTCAGTTGGTCTAATTATGACGTGTCGATAAGACCCTTCACAATTCTCAATGCTCTCTTCTGGATGCTCCTTAGATCATCAGTGTCTTTACTTAAAAGTGGCATCCAGAATCAAACAGAGTACCTCATACGTGGTCTGAGCTAGGCACAGTAATAACAACAACTAGAATTTATATGGTACCCTAAAGTTTTCAAAACACTTTAAAATACGTCATTTGATCCTCACAATAACCCTGCAAGGTAGATGCTATCTATTATGAGGAAACTGAGGCAGACAGAAGTTAATTGACTTGCCCTTTCGCCCAAGGTTACAGAGCTAGTAAATGTCTAGGCAGGATTTGAACTCAGGTTTTCCTTACTCCAAGTTCCACACATTACCCACTATACCACCAACCTGCATAGCAAGCAGGACTACTGCCTCTCTCATTCTGGACATCATGCTGCTATTAATGCATCTAAGATTACATTATCTTTTTTTGGCAACCGTGTCACCCTGTAGAATCATACTGAGCTTGCAGTTTGCCAAGAACTTTATATCCTTTTAAGAGGAAAGTTTTATCCATGCCACTACCATCTTGTACTCATAAAGTTGATTTTTTAAATCTCTGTGTAAGACTTTAAATTTATGCTATTAAAACATAACTAAAGGGTATCTGATATTCCAACAGTTCCTGAATATAGAATATAATTTTTGTTAATTTTTTAATTCATTTGCTTCTGCTTCTGCTAAATAAACTACTAAATGTTCTGTTACTTGAAGAGCCACTAGGTGGTGCCATAGTGCACAGAGCACCAGGCCTAGAGTCAGGAACAGCTAAACTCAAATCCATCTTCAGACACTTAGTAGCTGTGAGACCATGGTCGAGTCACTTAATCGCTGTCTGCCTCAGTTTCCTCTTCTGTAAAATGGGGATAATAATAGCACCAACTTCCCAGGATTATTGTGAGGATCAAACTGAGATAATAATTGCAAAGCACTTTGCACGCTGCTTAGCACATAGTAAGCTCTATATAAATGTTAACTAATATTATTATTGATTTTTTGGTTGCATCCAGTAATTAAGTTTAAATTTAAAACATTTAAAAATATTTTCCTAATTGATTTCATCTTATTAAATTCAGCCCAATACTCATTCTAATGTAACAAGATCTTTTGGGACCCTTTCCTACAATTCATTAAGTATCCCTCCCAGTTTTGTATCACATGTAAGCTTACAGAATCACAGTCTGAGAATTAGAAGCCACTTCAGAGCCACCTAATCCAACCTGCACACCAAAGGAATCCTTACTACGATATACCCGACAGAGGCAGCTGGAGCATCACATTTCAGGAATGGTAAGAAAGCCAGTTTGGCTGGCCTGAAGCATGCAGGACAGGGATAAAGGGACAATAACCTTGGAAAGGTAGGCAGGAACCAGGTTTGTAAAGGGCCTTCAACACTAAACAGAGGGGCTTGATTTGGAGTCCAGGGCTGTGGGTTTGAATTCCAGCTCTGCCGCTTGGCTGAAGGGGAAAAGGGGTTGATTTAGAGTTGGCTCCTTACCCGGTCCTTGGCACTCTTTACTTTGATGATTTTGGCTGCCAGCGAGAGACCAGTGGACTTCTCAGTACACTTATGGACTTGACCAAATCTTCCCCTGTGAAGATGCCAAGCACAGAAGGCCCAGAGCCCTCAAAGTGGGTACACAATCCCTCCCCGCAGAGCCAAAGCAACCCTAAATCTTAGTCATCCATGCGAATGGCAGGTCGGGCAATCGGGGAACAGAAAAGCTGAGAATCTAAATGGATACAATCTTACAGAGGCAGGCCCCAGGTAAAACTGCGCCATCAAAAGATCAAAGGCGTGAGATGGGCTGGGAGAGACTTTGGAAAAGATTAGTCCCACCTCCTCATTTTACAGTGGAAAGAACTGGGACCCCCCACAGAGCTAACTGTCTTCCCAAGATCACATTGTCACTTAATGGAAGAACCATAACTTTTAACCTAAGACTCCTAGTCCAGTGTGCCTTCCGTTGTTTCCTGGGCAGTGTGTTACAGAGAAAAAGGAATTGGAGCTGAAGTCAGAAAACCTGGGTTCAAATCCTGGCTCCTGTGTGACCACAGGCGTACACCTGATCTTTGACCCTAGTTTCATCCTCTCACATAGGTTCCCATAGTGGGTGATATGGCCCCCTGGGGGTGCTGAAATGATCCAGGAGGGTGGTAGTAGCCTCAGGTGTTATGGGGGGGGTTAAATAAAAATAAGGGGGCAGTGGAAGCATAAGGAAAGAAGAGATGAGAAAATTTTGAAAAAGCATTTGTATATGTTTCATCTATTGTGTAACACAGTTAAAATCATAGTAATTACATTATTTTCCAAATAAACACACAAAATGCAAGTTCTAACCAATCTATTGTCAGGTCCACCAACAAGTCTTAAGAAGCAAGTGTTGGCAGGAAAGTATGTCACACATTGCTAGGAAGTCTAGCATGTATCAGTAGGAATATGTGCATTTAATGACTTGTTTATAATATGATATTATACAGTTACATGATGCAATATTGAATTAACAAAATTTCAATGCAGAAAACTCCCCCCCACAAATTTATAATTATTAAATTTAAAGATGCATCTTTTTTTAAAAAAATATTTAATTTTTTTTGAAATGATGCAAATTCCAAAAAAATCAATAAAGGGTTAAAGAAAGTAGATTTCCAGGAGACGCTGAGTGATTTTTTTTTTTAAAGGGGGCAGTAGGCCAAATAAGTTTGGGAACTTCTGATCTATAGGAAAATGGGTCTGGACTAGAGGGCTGCTGACATCTCTTCCAACTCTGTCATCTCATGAATATCCTTATTTTTACAGTGGTCAGAAGGGTTAAGTACCTTCCCCAAGATCACCACCACTTACTGGAAGAATCATAACTAGAATTCAGGATTCCTGGTTATTATTCGTCTGATATGTTTTTCATTATCTCCTGAACAATGCATAGTGGAAAGAGCACTGGATTTGGAGTCATGGGACCTGGGTTCAAATCCCAGCTACATTATTTCTTACTGTAACAGAGTTTTTCTTTGTACATACCCAAATCACCCAAGTGATTGGTATCCATGTGGGAAATGGCAGGGACCTCCTTTTAGGAGAAAACATTCTGTGTGGGAATGGCCTCTTTCCATTGACTGTACAGCCAGAACGGTCTTTGTCTTTCAGACTACCAGACGGACATTCTCTCTTTCTGATGGCATCAAAGAAGGTGCCCACAGCATGGGCACTATGAACAGAGCTGAATGAGGGGAAGATTGTCTTCTCCTCCCTACTTGGGGGCCCAGTGGCCCCAAGAATCCGGCTCAGAGTCTGGCTCTGGTCTGTTGTGTTGGCCCTGTTCAGTTCCAGGCACAAGCAATGGAGTCCCCAGATGTGGATGCAAGCAGTGGTGATCTTGAAGGCAGAATTCCAAGCACATGTTGCACCTAGCTTACTAAGAAAACCCTGAGAAGCCAGGGGGCTCTGGATTCTGGCTTCTGGCTTTAGACGTGAATTTGTCCAGACTGTGCTTTGTAGGAACTGAGTTAAGCTGTAAACCTAACACCCCTCTCTTCTCCAGAAACTGAGATGGTATAAGGTGGGGATTATGCCCCTGCATACCAGGGGAGGGGGAAGTAGTATTGGTATATTGGTGGGTTTTTTGTGCCTTTGTAAGTAAACATTTCTTTGTAAAAGCTAATCTGACTTTTAAGTGGTTAAATGAAACTAGGGTGCAGCGGACCCCATAAAATTGAGTGAACCACCACCCTTTAGGAATTAGAAAAACCTGGATGAATGAAAGGTAAAATGTAACATCCTTGTCCTTCAGGTGGTGTGGGCCAGGGTAATCACTGTTACATTACCTATGTGTTTTTTAGAAGCAAATTACTTCACTCTGGGCCTCATATTCTTCCACTATAAAACAAATGAGTTGGAATATATTTCAAGGTCCCTCCTAGCTCTTAGTTCTATGATACATGGGACTCTGGCCCCAGTCTCCAGACTCATGGCCTTAAATTTCCCATGATCCATTAAGCTGCGTTCAGCCTGGAGCTAGATTGGTGAGGAAACACCGGCGTTCATCCTCTGCTCCCCATTTCAGTTCTCCAGATACCTTAGCACCAGTCCCCAAGCCAACCACCTCCCTCTCTATCAAAACAGAAGAATCCACCTACCCTCCCAAGACTTCATGCTGGCACACGGTGTAGGCTGTGGTGATTGGTACTTCCTTGACACTCACTATCCGGTGCTCAAAAGGGGCTGGGGGGGACGGGCTGTCATCTAAAGAGGACACAAACAAACATCATATATCCTCATGGCTCAAAGATCTGACTGACAGCATACACCTCTCAGCAGTCTGTTATGATCACACTGATTTGGGCATTGTTTACAATGATGGAAGCACCATAATCTAGGCAGGGGTGGGGAACCTGCTGCCTTGAGGCCACATGTAGGCCTTTAGGTCCTCAAGTGTGGTCCTTTGACTGAATCCAAACTTCACAGAACAAGTTGTTCAAAGGGCCACACTTGAGGACCTTAGAGGGATACATGTGGCCTCAAGGCCACAGGTTTCCCATCCCTGGCAGGTAGGGAGCTAGCCTTAGAGTCAAGAAGACCTGGATTCAAATCTTCCTTCACCATATACTGACTGTGTGACCTGAAACAAATCAATTAACTCCTTAGTGTCTCTAGAGATCTCTCCTAAGACTGCAGAGCAGATGCCAACCTGCCCTGATAAAGAGCATTTTCTCACTAGCAGCTCCCTATGCTAATGCAATCATGGATCCAGTAAATAACAGTAATAATAACTCCCATTCCCTAAGTATTTTATGCTTTTCAGATCTCTCCCACCCATTTTCTCAGTGGCTCCTCACAACATTGCTGCGGGGGTAAGTAGAACAGGTCTCTTTGTTTTACAGATGAGAAAACTAAAGCCCAGGGAAGGGAAAGGACTTGCTTCACAAAGCTAAGTCAGTGGGGAAGCTGGGATGCAAAGGGAGGAGAGCCTGCCTCCTAGTAAAGTCAGTCCTCTCTGAACAGGCTGGAATGTGAGTATGATGTCCTGTATAAGTGACAGTCGTCACATGGTAATAACCACAGGGTACATCGATATGTGGAAATGAATATGTAAAAAATGCCAAGTGATGAAAGTAGAACATGAGCTAGTCTGTGCCCAGTGTGGAGCAGTGGGAAAACCACTAGGCCGGAAGCCAGAAGACCTGGATTTGAATTCTGGCTCTGGCACTGAATGACTGTGGCACCATGAGCAAATCCCTTTCCATTTTGAGGCCTCAGCGTCCTCATTTGTAAATTGGGGCTAATAATATTGTACTCCTCACCTGTACAGTTGTTATGAAGATCAAATGGGAAAATACATATATAAAATCTTTGGAACCATGAAGTACTATATTAATCAAAATTATTTTAAAATATATGTAAAGATAAAAAAAGATAGGAAGAAGGTTTGAAGAAGTTTAAATAGAATTTCATGTTCAATTAGATTCCTTTTTCTCCAGAGGTTGAATGTTGTTTTTGTTATTATTTTTATATAACCATGGATTAGATACAAAGGCATCCAGCTTCTGGATCCCACTTCTCCAATGGCAAAGTGATAGTTGGTTAATCTGAGAAACTGAACTATGTTGATGTCAGCTTAAAAAAATTTTTCATTTTTGGGGGCAGTTAGGTTGTGCAGTGGATAGAGCACCAGCCCTGAAGTCAGGAGGACCTGAGTTCAAATCCAGCCTCAAACCAAACTCTTGACACTTAGTAGCTGTGTGACCCTGGGCAAGTCACTTAAACCCCAATTGCCTAAAAATTAAAAAAAAATAATTCATTTTTATTGTGTTTGATATTGCTAGCAGCACATAGTCCAGTGAAATTATGTGTCCTTTTCCCCTCCAGGAAATATCTGCTTTTTAAACAGAAATCTTCAATGCTTAATCCAAAGGAGGAACTCTAATGGTGAGAATATACAGCATTGTGGTAGGTCAGCAGAAGACACTGCCTTTCTTGGAATACTTTGAGGTGTCTCTCATGTCAAATTATGGCACTGCTCTAGACTCTCTCTTCCACTACAACTGAATCTGCCACCTATAATTCAATTTCTGCTTCTAAGGATCATATTGATTAGTCAAATATCCCCATCTCCTTCCTTGATATGTTGGTATTCCTTGGTATGTTATTTTATTTGTGTGGCAAAGCCCTAAATGGTTGTCCTTTGGGTAGGTTCAGAGTCTGAGCCCTAGTGAAGGGTCTCAGAATTTGTAGTGTTTCAAAGTGTAGTCTTCCCAGAAGAGACAGAATCTATGATGTCAACAGCCAGTCAGTCAGACATTGCTTAAGTGCTTACTATGTGTCAGAGACTATGCTGGAGTTGGAATGGGGTTTGAACTGGACAAGGTGGAACCAGGCTGGTGGGGAAGCCAGAGCAGGTTATAAGTTTTAATAAATAATAGGGATAGGGGCAGCTAGGTGATGCAGTGCATAGAACACTGGCCCTGGAGGAAGGTAGGAAATAAGAAAGGAAGAAAGGAAGGAAGAAAGGAAGGAAGGAAGGAAGGAAGGAAGGAAGGAAGGAAGGAAGGAAGGAAGGAAGGAAGGAAGAAGGAAGGAAGGAAGAAAGGAAGGAAGGAAGGAAGGAAGGAAGGAAGGAAGGAAGGAAGGAAGGAAGGAAGGAAGGAAGGAAGGAAGGAAGGAAGGAAGGAAGGAAGACCTGGAAGCCCCAGAAAGGGCGGAGGCTACCCTGACTTAGGGCTGCCTTGGTAGAAAGAGGGCTCTGGACAGAGCCAGCTAAAGTTACCACAGAGGGAGTCGCTTACCCAACATCAGACTACCTGCCCTCTCACAGTGCACACTCATTCCTGCAGCCATGGTTTCTCCCTCCACAGCTGTTGCCACATTTTCAGGCTCCTGGGTTCCATTTCCTGGGTTTCTCTGTTGTTCATCTGAGCTTCCAGTGGCCTCTCTCCTATCCTTCTGTGCAGTGCTGCGTCCCATTGCCAGCTGACATTCTGATTCAGACATATCCTCTGCTTTCTGGTCATTAGTCCCGAGGAGGACGGCTCCCCTCTCCTTGCCTTGTGGATTGTGCTCACTCTGTCCTACTTCTGGAGACTTCCCTTCAAGGCCGATCACAGTGGGATCAGTTCTGGAGGGCTGGAAAGAGCCCATGGGCACCCATATATCCTGCCCACATGGGCTTCCTCCCTCTTCAGAGGACAATGATGCCAAGGGTTTGGGTCTAAGGGCCTTCTCTGAAGAGCGACCCCGACCTCCCGCACGGCTCACCAACATCTCCCTTGGCGTATCTGTCTCCTGCACATGGATGGACAACCTGCAGAGAAGAGAATTCTCATGGTACACAAAGAATCCTTCTGCTCCCACAGGGAGCCTTTATCACCATTTCTTTTATTTGTTGACAGCTCTTAACCACTTTGATCTTCAGTTTTCTCATTTCTAAAATGGAGGCAATAATCTGTGCCCTTCCTATCTTATAGGACTTTTTGTGGGGAATCACACAAGATGGATGCAGAAGTGCTTTGTGTGTTCTATACAAATGTGAGGTAGGGGGCAGTGGATCAGGATGCCACATTTGGCCTCCTAGGGTAGCTGATGTCACAGGGTAATGATAGATCAAATACATGAAAATGTTATGATAATATGGTATTTGTTAAGTGTGGTGTGGTGGAAAGAACACTGGATGTGGAGCCAGGAGATCCAGTTTCAAGTCCCAGCTCGGCTGCCTTCTTGCTGAATTCCCATGGTAAAGTGACCTCTCCTCTCTGGGTCTCAGTGTCTTTACATGTCAAATGAGGGGATTGGATTTGACTTTCTCTAAGGTTGTAGAGTAGAAAAAGCAATGGATCTGGAGCCAGAGGACATAGGTTCAAATTCTAGCTGTGCCACTTAAGTGCGCACAAGCCAAGCAAATCATAATTTCTCTGGGTCTCAGTTTCCTCATCTGTAAAATGAGAGGGGATCCACCAGTGATCCCTAAAGTCCCTTCCAGTTCTAAATCCTATGATCTTATGTTCGTTCCAGGTCTATGATTCTGGGACAGTCTATGATTATTAATCACAGCAGGCTAGAGGGGACCCTGTCCTTATGATCATTTTACCAATTCAGAGAGTCTGCACTGGATGAAAAGGCAATTGATTTAGCCCAGCATGAACTCAAGGGAGTAGCCCAGATGCCCTCAAGTTCCCTGCCAGTCTGTGGATTTCATACTTAGGGTCACCTGCTCAGGACAGCCAGTTCCCTCTGCTGCCACATTAGCTTCCCCCTCAAGATGACCTTGAAGCTTGGCAGTAACACCGTGGCAATTCCTGGTTTCTTTTTCAGAGGAGAAAGCCCCGGTCTGTGGGTGTCAGCGTGGCTCTCTGGATTATTACCAGGCTGTTGCCCTTGTCCCTCCTGGATACATCTGTATGTTTGGTTCCCTCCTGCCTGCACCCGGATCTATGGACACCTTCCGTTGAAAACCACACACAATAATATGTGACATGAGATTTAAAACACCGCATGGTTCAGTGGGATGCATCCTGAGCTTTTAGTCAGGAAAAAGGTTCTAAGCCTGACTCTGTCACAAACTTGTATGTGATCTTGAGCAAGTCACTCCCCATTGATGGGATTCAGTTGCCTCATCTGGAAAATGGGGAAAATAATGCCTGCCCTGACTACAGTGCTCTTGTCAGTCAAACGACATAAGGGATAGGAAAGCAGCAGACATGCTGCACCCAAAAGTATTTGTATTCTGAGGCCATCTCAGCCACCCTCCCCAGAGGCTTACATTCACCTGCATCAATAATCACAACAGCAGTGATATGATCTTATACACCAACTTTTCATTCCAGCTGTCACTTTTTGCCCTCACAATACCCCGCAAGGTAGGTAGAAAGGGTCAGGAAATACTGGCCCGTTATAGATGAGAAAACTTACAGGCAGCTAAGTGAGCCCAGTGGACAGAGGATTAGACTTCGAGTCAAGAAGGCCTCAGTTCAAATTCAGCCTCAGATGCTTATCAGTCATTTGGGCAAGACACTTAACTTCTGTCTAGGAGGCAGTTAGGTAGCTCAGTGGATACACCACTGGCCCTGGAATCAGGAGGACCTGAGTTCAAATCCAACCTCAGACACATAACACTCACTAGCTGTGTGACCCTGGGCAAGTCACTTAATCCCATTGCCTAGCTTAAAAAAAAAGAAAAGAAAAGAAAAGAAAAGAAATTAAAAACTTCTGTCTGCCTCAGTTCCCTCATTTGTAAAATTGCAGTAGACACCTACCTCCCAGGGTTGTTATGAGGACAAACTGAGATAATATTTGCAAAATGCATTGCAAATGTCAGAGTGCTATATAAATGCTAGCTATTATTAATATTAGTAAACAGAGTTTACTCCTGCCCTAAGCTACTGGAGAAATATAGAGAATTCAGGCCTAAGGATCTTTTTATTCTCTCTTCACCTTTAACTCACCTCCCCAATCCTTCTGAACCCCATGCCTCCCCACCCTAAAAGTCCTACACATACACACACACACACACACACACACACACACACACACACACACACACAGATCTTTCTCATTTAAGAAGCACGTTTTGGTGTCTGATTTCCCTGAGAATTTGTCCTGGGGCACCTTATCACTCAGTATGAAGCCAAGAACGCACTTTCTTGGGCTCCAATTCTGCTCTGATTCTTAAATCACTGTTACTTTTTCCTGGGTTCTATACATTGCCCTTGGATTCCTGGAAGGCTCACTGTAATAATTCCACCCCCTGCCCCCACTACCTCATCTTTTATCCTTTAAACTACCTTGAGTGAGGTGGGTCTCCTAGCAACTGTTGGCCAGGAACTCAACTGGCTTTCCTGGCTTTAGGGAGTCTCACGTTTCCTTTCCACTCTGAACAACGACAGATAAGCAAGGAGCCCTGACTTTGCCAATTGCCAAAGCAAACAAAGACATTTGATCCTCCACAGAGGAGTGAATTAAATCCCAAAGATGGTTTAATTTCAGATTACTGGGGAAAAGGGAAAGTCGCCCAGCAGGTCAAATGCCCCCACCACCAGTCTGAGACCAAATTGTCAAATCTGTCTTCTCTGTCCTCCCACCGCTCCTTTCTATACTCAAGGCCACAGGATCATAGGATTTTATGCTAGAGGGGAATTCAGAGATAATATAGTTCAAGCCTCTCATTTTACAGATGAAGGAAATGAAGCCCAAAGAGGTTAAATGACTTACCAGGTTGGGATTCAAATCCAATCATCTAAATGAGTCCAAGTTACCAGGTCCAAATAAACTACTGAGCTGGCAGATGTGACCACAAAGCTTCTGCTGGCAAGCTTTGGATTGCATCGAAGAATAAATAAGGTACCATAAGATTGGGAAGGGCAAATATTGTTCTGATTTTCCAGAGAGAGGAAGTAAAGTCTAAAAATTCTAGACTGGTAAAATTGACTTCTATTCCTGGAAAAATTTTAGAACACATTATTAAAGAGATGGTTTGTGGGCACTTCCAAAGGGAGGTAGTAGTCCTACCAAATTCTTTCTGTGACACAAATATGGTCTTGATACCTAAACCAGGAAGAGCCAAAATAGAGAAAGAAAATTATAGACTAATTTCCTTAATGAATATTAATGCAAAAAATTTTAAATAAAATTCTAGCAAGATTACAACAATATATCACAAAGTTTATACACTACTACCAGGTAGGATTTGTATCAGGAATGCAGGGATGGTTCAATCTTAAAGAAATCTATAAGAATAACTGACCATAGCAATAACAAAAACAACAAAAATCATACGATTGTTTCAATAGATGGAGAAAAAGCATTCGGCAAAATACAGCATCCATTCCTATTAAAAACACCAGAAAAGTAGAGGAATAAACGGAGCTTTCTTAAAATGATAAGTAACAGCTATCTAAAACCAAGAGCAAGTATTATCTGTAGAAGGGATAAACTAAAAGTCTTTCCAATAAGATCGGGGTGAAGCAATAATGTCCATTATCACTATTATTATTGAATATTGTACTAGAAGTGCTAGCTATAGCAATAAGACAAGAAAAAGAAATCAAAGAAATTAGTATAAGCAATAAAGAAACAAAAGATCACTTTTTGCGATGATATGATGGCTTATTTAGCAAGCCCTAGAGAATCAATTATAAAATTACTTGAAACAGTTAACTTTCAGCAAAATTTCAGGATATAAAATAAACCCACTTAAGCTATCAGAATTTCTATATATTACCAACAAAACCCAGAAGGAAGATGGAAAGAGAAATGTTATTAAAAATAACAATAAACAGTATAAAATACTTGGGAGTGTACCGGCTAAGATATACACAGGACCCATATGAACAAATTTACAAAACACTCCAAATACAAATAAAGACAGCTAAATAATTGGAGAAATATTAGTTGCTCACGGGTAGGCCAAACCAATATAATGAAAATGACAATACTATCTAAATGATTTTGCTTATTCAGTGCCATACTAATCAAACTACCAAAGAATTATTTTATAGAACTAGAAAAAATAATGACAAAATTCATCTGGTGGAAAAAAAAGTTCAAAAATATCAAGGGAATTAAGGAGGGGAGGTGGTGAAGGGGCAGGCAGATGGGAAGGAAAGGGGTCCTAGGGAATACCAGATATCAAACCACACTACAAAGCTATAATCACCAAAACAATTTGGTACTGGATAAGAAATAAATTGGTTGATTAATGGAACAGATTAGTTATACATATACAGAAGCAAGTGAGAAACAGTAAACTAGTGTTTCATAAACTCAAATTCTGAGCTATTGGGGCAAGAATTCATTATTTGACAAAAACTGCTGGGAAAACGGAAAAGTTATTTGGCAGAAAACAGGCATAGATCAACATCTCAGACCATATACCAAGACAAATGGGTACCTAAGTTAGACATAAAAGATGATAACATAAACAAATTAGTGGAGCACGGAAGAATTTACCTGTCAGATCTATGGACAGGGGAAGAGTTCATGACCAAACAAGAGATGAGAGGTTCAAAGGAGGTAAAATGGATATTTAAAAGTTTTTGCAAAAATAAAACCAAATGCAGCTAAAATTAGAAGAAAAGTAGAAAACCGAAGGGAAGGATCTTTGCAGCACGTTTCTCTGACAAAGGTTTCATTTTTTAAACATATAGGGAACTGAGCCAAATTTATAAGAATAAGAGCTATTCCTCAATTGAAAGAAATATGAACAGGCACTTTTCAAAGGAAGAAACACAAAGTATCAATAGTCACATGAAAAAATGCTCTAAATCACTAATAATTGATAAGTGCAAATTGAAATAACTCCAAGATAAAACCTCATACCCATCAAATTGGCTAAAGTGACAAAAATGGAAAATGGCAAATGCTGGAATGGATGTGGAAAAATAGACTAAAGTACTGCTGGTAGAGCTGTGACCTACTCTAACCATTCTGGAGAGCAATTTGGAAGTATGCCCCCAAAGCTGTTAAATTGTGCATACCCTTTGACCCAGGAATACCATGACTAGGTCTATACCCCAAAGAGATCAAAGAAAAAAGAAAAGGACCCATATGTACAAAAAATATTTACAGTGTCTTTTTTTGTGATGGCAAAGAATTGGATGAAGGGATGCTCATCAGTTAAGGAACGGCTGAACAACTTATGGTATATGGATGTGATAGAATACTATTGTGCTGTAAGAAATGATGAAGGGAATAGTTTCAGAAAAAGTTGAAGACTTATATGAACTGATGAAAAGTGAGCAGAACAGGGAGAACAATTTACATAATAACAACAGTATTATAAAGATAACTAACTGTGAAAGACTTAGCAACTCTGATCAACACAATGACCCACCACAGTTCCAAAGGACACATGATGAAAAATACTATCCACCTCCAGATAGAGGACTGATGGATTTAGAACACAAATCAAAGTACATATTTTTCTTTTTCTTGTTTTTTTTTTAAACATGGCTAGTAAAGAAATTTGTTTTGAATGGCCATATTTGTAATGGGTTTTTATTTCTTGCCTTCTCAATGTGTGAGTGAAAGGTTGGGGAGAGAAAGAATCTGGAACTGAGAATAAAATTGAATAAACATTTAAAATGAAAGACAGGTAGTGATCACTTAAAGAAAGGCAGCATGGTTTAATAAAGAGAAGGTCATGTTAAACTAACCTCATTTCTTTTTTTGAAAGATTAATTATGGCAGGTGAGGAGAATGCTATCAAAACATTGTGTTTAAATTTCAGCAAAATATCTAACAAAGTCTTTTATCCTAACCTTGTGGACAAGATAGAGAGACATGGGCTAAATGACAGTACAGTTACAGGTATGTATTTGTTAAATTTGCAGATGAAAACATAGCTAGGAGGGATAATTAACATGTTAAATAATGGAGTCAAGATCCAAAAAAATTTCGACAGGTTAGAATAAGGAGCCAAATGTAATTGGATGAAACAATAGGAATAAACCTTATCCTACACTTGGGTTGAAGAAATCAATCTCAGAATAACAGGATAGGGGAGCTGTGGTTAGAAAATAATTGTGAATAAAATTAAGAAAAAGATCTGGGGGGTTTAGTGAATCACAAGCTCAAATTTCATTAACAGTATGACATGGAAGCAAAAAACTCTAATGTTATCTAAGGTTATATTAAGAGAGGCCAGATGGGGTCCTGAAAGAGTGCCAATCCCCTACTCTGCTCCAACTATTTCTACAGAACTGAGTTCTGTTTGGGGCAACAATTTTAAGAAGGAAATTGGAAAGTCTGGGTGAATTCAGAGAAAGGCAGTCAGGATGGTGAAGAGATAGGAGACCATGCCTTACAAGGATCAGTTGAAAAAAACGGAGAAACATGGAAAAGAAAAGTCTTGGGGGAGGTGGAGAAGGAGGTGGAGAAGTTCAGATTGAACCCAGTGACAATAACTAGAAGCAGTGAATGAAAGTTGCAGAGAGGTGGATTTAGGATTGACGTATTGAAAAACTTCTTAATAATCAGAGCTATTGCAAGGTGGAATGGCGGCCTCTGAAGGGAAAGGGCTCCTCACTGGAGGTCTTCAGGCAAAGGCTAGATGACCATTTGTAGCATATGTTATAATGAAAGCTGTTTTTCAGGCAAGGTCTGTGCCAGAGGGCTGCTGAGGTTTCTTCCAATTCACTGGAACTCTATAATTCAGTGACAGCACAGGTCACTTCCCCTCCCTGAGGCACAGTTTAAATGAAGGGGTCAGGGCTTGGTTGGATAAGAGGTACTTGCAGTGTAATGGGAAGAAAACTAGATTTGGGGCCACTACAACACATTTGCTGTGTGACCTCGGACAAGTCATTTTCTTTCCTTCTCTAGCCTTCAGTTCCTCGTTTGCAAAATTGAGGGTGAGGTGGGGGAAGGATTTGAACTAAATGATTTCTAAGGTCCCTGCCAGCTCTGCTATTGTGTCATCTTGTGATCACATAAATCTAATCAAAATGATCATAAATCTAGGGCTAGAAGAGACTTTGGAAGTCATCTTATCTAGCCTTCTCATTTTACAGATGAGGAACTGAGGACCAAAGAGGTCAGACATGTAGCTGCAAATTGTTCCTACATAGACACAGACAAGATAATCAGTCCCTACCTTGGAGGCATCCCTCCACCCCGAGCTCCCATGGGTTGGGACAAGGCTTCTGGGACCTCAGTGCTGGCTGCTGAACCTGGCTTTGCCACCTCTTCTAATGGCCAAGAAGCAGGCTGGCCAGTCATGTCTCCTCCTTGTTCTACTCCCCCAGGTGCCACTTGAACCTGGCAGATTTCACTCTGCCCCTGTGGTACCACTGCACAATCTGGATGCACAAGGGTGATGTCACTGGCTTTCTCTGGGTCTTTAGATATTGTATCTTTGGGTGATGGAAGACAGTCAGGAGGTCTCTGGCAAGAAGCTGGGGTAGAAGATCCGTCATCCTGCCTTGTGGAGGTCCCTCCCCCTCCGAAAGGGTCTGAGTTAACTCCAGGATCTTTAGGGGTCACTGGGGGCAGCCTCTTGTCCTTCCCCTCCAACGACTCTGCCTTTTGGCTTTCTAAACAGAGAAACAGACAATAAAAAATCTCAAGTTAATTAAATACTGCTGTGCTGTGTACATAAGGTCTGTTGATTTGAATAATGGGCCAGATTCTCCTATCCCTTTGCTGCATAAACCCTTATAATGAAATGTTTTATCCCAAGGTACCTTTGAGGATACCACCTCTTCCAAAAGTACTTCTCTAAGAAAATAGCATATATTTTACTAAACTGTAAGCCACATGAGGGTAGAGACTTCTAATCTAAACTTTGCATCTCCTCTAGTGGCCAACCTTGTGCCTTACACACATTAGGGCCGTAATAAACATTTATAAAATGAACGGATGAAGGTTGAACAAGGCATCATTTGTGTATGCTCTCTGTCTCCTACCAGAGAAAGGAGTTCTTAACCTTTTTGTGTCCAGGACCCCTTTGGCAGTCTGATGAAGTCTATGAGCCCCTTCTCAGAACAATGTTTTTTTAAATGCATAAAATAAAATACATAGGACTACAAAAGCAAACAACTATGTTGAAATACTTATCAATTTTTTTTTAGTTCATAGATCCCAGGTTAAGAACTCCTGAGTAGAGAGGTCAGCTCACTGAGAGAGGAATCCATATCCTCTCTTTCTTCTGTAACCCCTCTCTTGCCCCAAAGTGCCTAGAATAGAGCTATTCATAAAGTAGGAGCTCAATAAACACCTGCCAAATAAAACCGTTTCCAGAGTTTCCTGGTCCTGACTGTCCCTGAGAACATCCGTGTCAGCAACGTGAGAAGGACAAAAACAATATTATACTCCTGGGTCGCAGGGATAGTTGTGGGTGCAGGCAAAGTTGCAGGGGAAGGGAACAGTAGAAGGTTCCCACATACCTTCCAAAGGCCTCCTGATTTCGGCTTGCACTCCTCGAGTGCTGAGGGTCTGCTTTGGTTTAGCCCCCTTCTCCTCAGCTTTCTCCTTGTTCTAAAAAGCAAGGGTCATCATAGCCATCATTACACAGTGTGAAATAAAAATTATTACTCAGGCAACCAAGAGACGAGGCACTGTCTACTCTGCTGGTTATTACTGGTGTGAACGCACTTTGGCAGGTAGTTTTGCCTCACTTTCCACAACCAGAAAATGAGGGTGTTGGGCTAGGTGAATGAATACAAAGATCCCGTTCAGCTCCAAATCTTTGATCTTAAGATCCTAGGAGAAAGAGCAGGGCCCAGTGGATAGAGAAGTGACCTTACTGCTCCAGCCTGGCACACCCTCAATGCTCTTGGTGGCTCTCAAAGACTAAAAGTTGAAGAGAAGGTGCTGACCTGCACTGGGGGAAGGAGTTTCCCCAGTTGGGAGTTCCCTATACCAATGAAATGACAGGTCTAGGCCATTTCCCCATCCTGTGATGCTCCTGCATGCAGAGTACTGTGCTGGGCACTGGGAGGAAGGGGAAGACACAGCCCCAGACACTCTAAAGAGAGCGAGAACTTTCAACACACTTAAAAAATATATTACGACCAAGACTAAGGAAACACGTACTAATTCAAAGCTATGAAAAAGAGCTCTTTGGAAACTTGCTCCTTCAGCCTTGCACATAGTAGGCTCTCAACAGATAGCTGACTGGTTGAATTAATTGCTATAGATAGTCTCTAATCAAATTATCCACTAAGACCAATAAAAGTATTAGTTCTGACTTGAAAAAGAGTATCTTCTATTTAATGATAACAATGCATATTTTTATGGCACTTTAAGGATCACAAAGCACTTCCCTCACCACAACCTTGTGAAATTGGTTGTGGACATACTATTCTTCTTCTTTTCCAGATGCAAAAATTGAGGTTCAGAATGGTCCGAGGTCACAGCTAATAAATGTAAGAGGTGGAATTTTTAACTAGGTTTCCTGAGTCCCAGTCAGGTGATTTTGGAACAGTCTTTTTCTCTCTCTGCTGGTAGGGATAAAGTACCCAACCAAAGTGGTCCATTAGGCCTTACTTTCACCTCATCTGTAAAATGAAGAGTTTGGACTAGATAATCACTTCCAGTCCTAAATTCTCTGACCTTAGTAATAAACTAGTTCCCTACCCAAGGGGATGGCAACCTTTTCTGCCTTTGAAAAGCTAAGCTCTCAAAGTTCAAGTTTAATGAGCACCTTCTAATGAAACTCCACTGGAGCTGGATTGCATTTCTTTTTGGATAGCAATGTGAAAGTCATTAACTATTAGATCAAAACATGTAAGGGAGAGCTGGATTTAAAGAGTATTTATTGAGAGCCTATTTTGTGCCTAGGTATGTGCCAGGAGCCAAGTGGGAATTTGACTCTTGGCTTGCTTTCATTCATTTCATAATCTCCATCTTGGACTCTATTCCTGAATCACCAGGCTCTAATAGGTGAGCGTTCCTCTTACCTTACTGGAGAACGAAGCCTCCACACCACTTCCCAGCCATATCTATACTATGTTAGGGTACCTGTTGGTATCCTCTACCCCAGCCTCCCTCAGCCATTTCTAGCCCCCTTTTGTATTTTCATTCTACTTGAGGGCATGTACCATCTTGCAGCTCATATTTATATCACCAGCATGCTTAGCAACATGCTTGGCATTTAATCTCTCTCTCTCTCTCTCTCTCTCTCTCTCTCTCTCTCTCTCTCTCTCTCTCTCTCTCTCTCCCCCTCCCCCTCCCCTCTTCCTCCATCTATCTCCCCCTTCTCTTCCTCTCTCTCCCCTTCTTTCTCCCCTCCCCTCTCTCTCTTCCTCTATCCCCTGTCTCCTCCTCCTCCTTTCTCTCCCCTCCTATCTCTCTCTCCTCTCCCCCTTCCCTTCTTTCTGTCTTTTCTCTCTTCCTCTCCTCTTCTTCCTCTCTCTTTCTCTCTCTCTCCCCCATCTTCCTCTCTCCACTTTTCTCTCCCCTCTCTTCTCTGTTTTTCTCTCTCCCCCTCCTCTCTCTCTCTTCCTCTCTCTCTCTCTTTTTCTCTACACACACACACACACACACACACACACATTCCAGCCCCACCCCAAGACAAGTATCAAGAAAAGATGAAGTTTAATTAGTGCTGACTGTACTTGCAGTCAAAAGATTTGAATTCAAGTCACAGCTCTGCCTCTAGCTCCATGTGTGACTTTAGGTAAATCACTTTGTTTTTCTGGGTTCAGTTTTCTGAACTGTAAAAATGAAGGGATTGGATGAGATGATTTCTAAAGTCTCTTCCAACCCTGATATTCTGTGACTCTATGATACTCACAGTTGTGTCAACTATTATAAAATACACAACACAGCTTTGAACATCTTTAGTGGCAATCTTCTGCAAAGGCCCAAGGTAGTGAGTGACATTGTTATATCAAAATCTGTCTCTGCATGTCTATATCCACTTCAGAATTCTCAAAGAAAAAACTGCCAATTTTCTCTTTGGAATGACAGAAGCAGTTTTTAAAGTGGAGGAGAGATAATATTCTCTCCCCTCAGTATTTCTATCCTTTGAAGATGTCTGAAGTTTGGGGAACTCATCCAGATATAATCCTGCTATTCCCTGTCACCTGGCCACAGCTTTTGGGAAAAGGAAAACCTAGCTGCTAGAGGCCCTTGTACAATTGAGCAGGGGAGAGAGATAGCTCCCACCCATAACCCTGGTTGATTGGGAAATAATTCTTTAAAAAGGGTAGGATTTATACCACTACTGGGTATATATCCCAAAGAGATCAAAAAAGGGAAAAGGACCCGTTTATACAAAAATATTTATAGCAGCTCTTTTTGTGGTAGCACAGAATTGGAAATTGAAGGGATGCCCATCAACTGGGAATGGCTGAACAAGTTGTGATATATGTGTGCAATGGAATATGATTGTGCTATAAAAAATGATGAGCAGGCTTGATTTCAAAAAAAGCTGGAAAGATTTACATGAACTGACGCAAAGTGAAGTGAGCAGAACCAGAAGAACATTGTATATAGCAACAGCAATATTGTATGGTGATCGACTGTGAATGACTTAACTATTCTCAGCAATAAAATGATCCAGGACAATCTCAAAGGACTCATGATGAAATACTAACCACATCCATAAAACAAACTGATGGAGTCTGAATGAAGATTAAAGCGTACTATATTTTTATTTTATTTTTTCGTGGGTTTTCTTTGGGGGGGTCTGTGTTTTCTTTCATAACATGACTGATACGGAAATACGTTTTACGTGACTGAGCATGTAGAACCCATATCAAATTGCTTACCATCTCATGAAGGGGAAGGATAGGGAGGGAGGAAGAGAATTTGGAATTCAGATTTTTAAAAAATGAATGTTAAAATTTATTTTTACATGTAATTGGGAAAAAATGAAATATTATTTTTTTAAAAGGATTTAAGGATTCTTTATCCTTCTTGAGGATTCTGTTATCAGTACCACTAACATTATTTCTCCCTGTTTTGATCTCCCTATATTTCCTGTTTCTTTCCTCCTCTTCTCTTTATCTCACTTCTCTCCAATCAAGATTAATTAACCATTTACTTACTCTTGCAAAGCACTATGGCAATGCAAAATTTCATCAAAACACATGGTTCTTGCCCTCTTGGCATTTTCAGTCTAGTTGGGGAACTGAAGTACAAACACAAAGGACTAGAGAACACAAGGTTACATGATGACCCTTAGAGAACTGTTCAACAAAGTCCTAGGTGAGATCTTGGAGGAAATATCATTACCAACAGTGTGTGCTGGAAAGGGGAAGGATTGAGAAATAAAAACATAAAACAGGGGAGAGACAACGTGAGCAAAGGTGTAAAGGTCAGAGGATGAGGGATGTGTTCAAGGTGAGGCAAAGAACTGTCCAGACTGGCTAGAGAATAGAGTACAAGTAGGTCAGCAATAGAGGATGCAGCTGGAAAGGCAGGACGGTCCCTGTTAGCGGAAAGCAGAAAGATGCTACTTCTCATGGGATTGTGCTCTGGGTGTAGATGTGACTGTTGATGAGCAAAAGATAGGGAAAGGGGCTGGTAGTGATTAGGGCTGGCCCCATGATTTCACGTGGATGAGGAAATGCCTCGAATGCCAGGTAGACAATGTTGTTGTTGCTCAGTCCTTTTTCAGTTGTGTCTGATTCTTCATGACCCCATCTGCGGTTTTCTTGGCAGAGATACTAGAATGGTTTGCTATTTCCTTTTCCTTTCAGCTCATTTTACAGGTGAAGAAACTAAGGTAAATGGGGTTAAGTGACCCGCCCAGGGTCCCACAACTAGAAAGTGTCTGAGGCCAGATTTGACCTCAGGAAAGTGAGTCTTTTTGACTCCAGGCCTAGTACTCTATCCACTGCACCACCTAGCTGACAATAGGGAGCTACTAAAGATGTTTGAGCAAAGGAGTGACATGACCAGATCTCTGCTTGACAAAGGTTATTCTTGCAGCAGGATAAAGCTTGGAAGGAAGGAATGAGTGCTACTATCTCTCAGGCTGATCATGCTATTACTCCGGCTCCACAGCGCCCTTTCCATTCGCTAGCTTTCTGCAAAGCCTCAGCCCGGAGCCTCAGGCAGCACAAGTCATTATCTGTGTCCTTTGGCAGACCTTGCTGGGATGAAATGTCGTAATCTCCCCCTGTCCCTCCCAGCCCCCACACAAGCTCAAGGTTCTTGCTGCAGCAGCAACACTGGCTGAACCCTTTCCTCCCCCTTGCATGTCCCAGGCAGAAGAAGTGGAAAGGCTGTAACTGTCCCTCAGAGAAAATTTTTTAAAGAGTTTGGAGGATGATTTTTTCCCCCTAATATGGCCTCATAGAGGTAAGGGGAGAGGAGGGAATGCTGCCTGTCCTTTGTTCCCAAAGAAGCTGCTTCTGATGGGATTGTGCTCCGGGTGTGGGTGTGGCTGGTGGTAAGGAAGATAGGGAAAAGGACAGGACCCAGGATTTCACTGGTATAGTGAACTCCTGGTGGAGGAGACACCTTCTACCAATGCAAATTGATATTTTCTCTGTAACTTAAAAGTCTTGGAGAGTTACCTACGG